GTGGTCAATGGTGACTTGCACCGCACTGTGCGCATATCAGCGTCCGCTATGTCGTAGAATACTAGCGCAAAACATGTAGGTAAACGTATACAGTAAATTTCCAGTTGCCGAATGGGCATACTGTTTTAACGTCCAGGAAGGCGTCCTAAACTTGGCCAACGACTTCGGCCTAGTAGTAGCCATCTTCTGTAGTGCCAGCAAAGCATGCTGACGGCTTTGCCACGTGGTTGGTCAAGGTAATTTAGGCGTACCCCGAGGATTGGAAATCAAATGCCGGTGCGACCTCGCACCGGATGTCTTACATTCTTAGCTGCAACATCCCTCTTGAAGTGATGTAGCATCTTACAACGATTCCCGAAATCTTTGCAAGAGGTATTTTCCTTCGGTAGCTTCATCTTGAGATTCCGTCTTAGAAGTAACTTCGTTTTCTTCCAGTCATATCTTTGATACTCTAAACTGCCTCATTGCATTTGGCAATTGCAAAAGGGTATCCTGCTCTGCTTCTGGCAAGCGTTGATACATACTGCCATTGACGACGCACTATCAAAAGGTCATTACTTATCAATTTTCACGGTTTTCTATTCAGGGTTTAGCAAGAATGATTGTCTTCTTCATTTTACGCATTTTGTTCAGTCATTACGGATGAAACGTAAAAACTTTATGAGTTGATGTTACAATGTAGTACGTATGAACCGTTACTATGCTATTTTGCTCTTCCGGGCCAGCAACACTGAAAACATCACCGAGATGATTGCTCCATATTCGGTGAATTGTTTTTAAAATTTGATTACGAACTTGGATAAAAAACCACCTTTCAGCAGGCCTGCGCTGACGTTTTTGATGGGTGCGCAAAGAATTTGCGCCGATATTCGTCGGTGGCTTGAGGCAAAGCTACCGAAGAGAGGGTCGGCTTGAACAGGTGCTAAAAAATCCTGTAGATGCATATATTAAGACTTTACAAAAAATTGGGTTTTGGCGGAATAATATGGGATGACGAAATGCCAAATGCAAAATTCATAATTTTCTCGGCCCTTTGAGGAGCAGCACTGTCGGCGCTGGGTTCAGGCCTTCGAAATATTTTTAAACAAAGCGTCACCGGAACTTCAAACGAAGTCGTGGGGTTATACAAATTAATGTTTTGGAGTGTTAAGGACAGAACCAGTACGCAGCATAGAAGGCTGTGAAAACGTCCATGGCTTGAGTGACAAAGTCGGGACTGGGCTGAAAATTTAGCAATTGTCAGTGTTGTGGAAGGTAGTATCTGGTCATCACACCTTAAAATAAATTGTCGTCTGATGTGGTCACTATAAGGCGTGCCTCAATAAAAACAAAATTTTGCATGTCATCATATTACATAACTCAATCCATGCTTCGCTTTTTCTCATATTTCGGTCACTTTGAGAGTATGGTTTCATGTTCCGGTACCGGTCACTGGAGCGACCGCAAATGTGGCGCACTACATGAATAGCTGCTGATCGTACTGTTTTAGCTACCCGCTAAATGTACAGTTAGCTGAGCAAGCCCAACGCACCCTCATAATTTTCAGGGGTCCAATAAATTCCGTTTGTTCAAGGAAAGGCGCAGTGTTCTGCGTCTCACCCGATTCAGATTTTCTGTTATTGGTGATGTTTTTCATAAAAATTTATTGATGCTATACGTTAAAATTTAATGAGAGAAGCCGTTTTTATAAAAGTTAATAATATCACTGTGAACTTTGTTTTGTCAGGTGATTTAACTACCTGGTGACTGGAATATGATACCCTACACTAAAAGTGACCGGAATAGGAAAAAAGGCAAAGTATTTATGTGCAGTACACAGTTTATTTATTTATTTATACTTTAAATCTATATATCGCCCAGCCGAATATATCACCAATATTTTCTTTTTTTACAAAGTACGCATCTGCCTATATAAATATATATTACCCGATATAGGCAGATGCGTACATCACAATGATTATTCAAAAAACCTTCACATGGCATCGCTGTAGTGTTGCCGTTTGGACTTTTCGTGAGTTTTCGTATCATTTTCGTGAGTTTTCGACCTCCAGATGAAACGGACTTAAAATTTTACAATAAGTCCGACCGTTGGGTCTTGAGATACGATAAGTAACAAAAAGTCAAAACGACAACACTACATCGCTAGTACGGCAAACCGCACGCGGATGACTCTTTTTAAACATACTTTTTGCAAAAATTGTGCAATTTCTGATTTTATGTGAAATCTGCACACAGGCAGCCGCACAGCAGGAATTGACAACGGCACAATCGCTAATGAGGTGAGATTTCGGCACTATTGTGTCATTTGAGATGAGACGCTTCGCAAGGTTAAGCATATGCGTCTATGGGAAAAACACCAGTGCAGTCTACATTACAACGTGTACACACTCCTCCACTTGTTTTTTCTAAGTACAATCAAAGAGAAGTTATTCACCACAAGAATTACTACAAAACTAAACTAATCTTAAAAATTTTAGCCATACCAGCAAAATGTCACACTCGGCTTTATGCAAAAGTAAATTATGTCCCAAGTTATAGCTCTTGCCATATACACGTAACCAGGGCGGCGACTTCGCTGTACCTGCATGGCTTTCGATTTACTCTTGTACAGAACTTGTGAAGTGTGAGCGTCATTTATTTATTGTTACTCGATTGTGAAAAACGATTTATGACAAGTTTTTGGCTACGACTTACAGAGTATATGTTACATATCAGCACTTTTCTACAATTTATTAGTACCCATTTATTAACTTTTATACAAAAATGAACTAATTTAGAAAAGTTTAAACGGATCGTCGGAGTTTCGCAAAACAGTAACTTTGTCGATTTTGTATAAACTTCCGCTCGTTTTATCATAATTATATTGTGAAATGTTAAAACCGCGATCTTCAGGTACTCTGTAATATCAGCGATTTTGCTGCTTGATGTTTCGTTTAAATTATAAAAAGTATAGTAAAAATATAACAAATAGCAGTAACTAGCACTAACTACTAGCACCAGTTTCATATATATCCTGAAGATATCCCAGGCACCGCATGCCCGCCCTATGAGATCCAAACTAAACGTTTTATTTAGCGCGCGTTTTTAGATATTCTGATTAATCTCAGCCATTAGTCACATTTGATGACAGAATCATTCCATAATCTAAAACCATTTACTGGGATATGCTTACCGTTAGCACAATTCAAAAACAAAATATATTCACTTTCAAATTCTGCACAGCATCACACAACTACAGAGTACAGATATAATATAACTTCCAAATTGAACTCCCAAACAGATATGCACAAGGCAGTGTCAAGTATAACCTTATTTAATTAACTATTGTTATAATAAATGATATTAAAAGAAAAATGACGCAAAAGCAACTTGTTAGATCGGATTCGGAATGGAGATTTGCATATGGTTGTTAAGAAAGTCCTATATGTCTCGCGATACTGTTTCATCTGAAATGACAATGGCTAGGCACGCTACGCCTCGTATACCCTCGGCACGCCTGATTGTGCGGTTGTCAATTTGTGCTATGGCAGCCGACCTGCAGAGCACTACATAAGCAGTACTAAGCACCCTATCCAGACGAGGAACAGCAATCTCTCTCTGCTTCTTTTATCTGTAACGTTTCCACACTCTCTCTGCAGTACTGTATGATAAACTCTCTCTTGCTTTGTCTCCAGCTTTTGCGCAGGCTCTTTGTCTGCTTTCCTATCTCACATTCTGTTTAAATTTGTCTTTTAAACTCTTCCTGGATAGAAATGAATGAACAAAATGACCGTCGTTTTGCTATTGTCTGCATTTTGACTCTTAATCCATCAAATTCTGTTGAGCCGTTCAAAAGTTATTGAAGACTCAACGAATGTTGACTACCGTTATATATATTAAAGATTAAAGATATCTGGACCGGCAACACTTCACGGCTTTCCGCATTTACATTATTAACCTTCTCATCTGCAACTTATTCCATGCCACCGTCAATAAACCATCAGCGATATTGTTGTACAAGAACGCCACCAATTTTCACAATTCGGCCCTTTGTGACCTGTTCCTTTTTGCCAGCTCCATCACACTGACCTCCACGATGCATGCCAACCTGCTGATGACACTGAATCGCTTCTGGGCGGTGACCTTTCCTAATTCCTATCGCTTGCGACATAAGGCGAAACTCGCGTGCGGCGCTTGCGTTCTACTGTTTATCTACAGTCAGATTATCAGTCTCCCGGCGGTGATCATTGATTATCTGTACTACCGCCTCCCTACAACGGTAATCGCGGTGTGCACTTCCAATGTAAAAGCACAACCCAGAACGTTCGACGCCCGTAATATCCAAGCGATGTTGCTGCCTGAACTGCTGACCATTGGCTTGTTTCCGGTGATCGTTTGGCAGCGTCGACGAAGGATTAGTCGGCGGCCCGGAGCAGCACCGGGCCCGAACGCGGTTTTACCGGGAGTAGCGACCAACTCGGCGTCCCACACATCTTCTCGGCGGCGCTCGCCCAATAACATGGTTACCTTTTATTTGATGATGGGCTCCGTTCTGGTGTGCTGGACTCCAATGGCCGCATCAACGATTGCTAACCACGTTAGGACCGTTTCACAGTTTCAGATTTTTCAAGTTGCTGGTCAGTTGTTCTCCTGCCAGATTATTCTAGGTCCGATTTTGTTGATCGTCGCTTCAGCTTTTGTGACCAAATGGAACCGGCGAGCGGAGAGCGTGCAAAACGCACGACATAACAACGCTGCGGCTTTATATACATGAAAGCCGGAGGTTCGTTTTCGTAATGCCGTTGTGCGTTCTGCAGTATTAATATGTGTTATTTTGTACACGTATGATTTACTCATAACCTCACTTCTACCGGTAAAACTTCCCATTTTGTTCTATGTCTGCAAACGCGAGATAACGACCGCTCAGTCATTTCAAACTTCTAAAATTTCGCTTTTCATCTCCGTATCTTTTATAGCCGAAGTCATAATAAACTACCGCTTTGTATGAATAAGAAGTCAGAGCCATTTTAATCAGTGGAATTAACCGCATTTTGCATTATCATGCGATTCTGCGATCACCCAGATATGGTATACAAAAGCGAAGCGGAAGCGCGTAAATCTGGAGCAACTTCAGAACGCTCCTTAATGATCTTCTCAGTATCACAGAACAACCTTCACGATTTCGCAGCATTTGCTTATGCAGTTATGCATTAACCGGCTAACGTTTTCGTAAAACGGTAAAATTAAAGCGCGGCCTTCTTATTCGCGGCGCGAAGCTGCGGACGCCGTAGCCCAACGAAAAGGATCTTTTGCCACAACTAGTAACTGTTCTCGAACCTCTTGGGACATGGATACTGTAACCGTTGACCAGCCGGTACTGAGCTCTGTATCGTACATTTCCATCGTTTGTGCATGTTTTCCGTCCGGTGTCATACCGCCAAAAGCATATATGCGCTTATTAATCACACATGCTGAATGGTCCCATCTCGGTTGTATCAAAGAATGTATTTCTCGCCATCGGCGCGTTTTGATATTCAGACGCAGGCACGATCCTGTGGCGGGCCACTTCTCCATAAATGGCGTGGTCGAGTCCGGTAGTTCCTGCAGCTTTCCGCCGACAATGTAAATGTCTTCGTCAATTGTGACCATGGCAAAAAGCCGGCGTGGTTGTGGTAGGTATGACAGAGATTCCCAAGTGCCCGATGCGTTATTGAACGAGGTATCGAAAGACGCTAGCCACATTGCTCTGGTCATGCCGGCTTTGTCGTCCGCCAGAATGTACAGTACGCTTTTCTTTAGGGCTACCCCGCAACGTACGCTTGTGAATCTACAAAACAAAAAATCAAGGCAAGCACCAACACTTTGTTTGACAATAGCAGGAAATGAACTATTCATAAGAAGGTATTACAATAATGCTTATAACATCATTATAAAAAACATACTCATCTTTTAGAAATTCTCTTTACAAATGCCATGAAACTTGCTTTGATTCAGATTTGTCTTCGTAGCTACGTGCTTTATACAGGACAGACAGATAACAACCTGAGATTTATTGTGTGTAAACACTTTATGGCTGCCGGGCAAATGGTTTGTTTTTTGACCGACGTATACATCATTTGACCGCAGATTCGCAGAAAGATATACGTTGAACCACACAAAATAGTGATTCTTAATTCGCAAAGGCGAAAGCGAAAGTCTCGGTGAATGTGTACGAACTAGTTACACCTGCTCTTTCCCATCATGCTATATAAATAAAACGCATCTGTAGATTTTGAATATCTGGGAAATTATTTCTAGTGTAGACAGAATACTGTACCTTTCGCCTCCCGGCCGTGCCAGCTTCCTAGCGTGTCCAGTAGAAATTTCCGCCTTGACGAACGTCAGTTCGTCAGCATTTCCGCACCAAAAATAGACTTTATCCCGCAGAACAACCGGATGCTGCATTAAGCAACCACTGGAGAGATTTGTTGACTGCCAGATCTGCTTTTCGACTTGCCAAGCTACTAATTCGTTTTGGACATTAACCTTCGAAGGCGTTATGACATTATAAAGTAACTCTGTATCCGTAGCTACAATACTGCGGCCTCCAAAATCTTCGGAAATATACCGCTTTTGCAAATCCTCAGGAATACCGACGTGTTGCATTTTGCTGGTTGCAGGATCGAATATGTGCGCAAAACACTGCTTGCCTGCTTGTGAAGAAACGGAACCTTTAGATCGAATGATTTCGTAAAAATACACGAGTATGTGTTGTGTGCTGCCGCATACGGGGGTGCGCAGCTGTTGCAGCATCTCGGCCGCCGAAATTCGCTGTTTGGGATCGTGGATTAAGCAGGCCTGAATGCATGCTGCGAGATTAGCCGGTATGGATTCACTGACCAATGGGACATAGCCATCCATAATCAGACTGGCGAAGCGACTGTCGGAGAGCTTATTAACATCGTTAGTTATGTCTTTGCCTTTGCAAAGTTTCCGTGTTACGTCCCCCAAAAACCAGGCAGTCAACTCCAAGACAATGCAACCCAAGCTCCAAATATCAGTTTTTCTTCCGGGTGTCTCGGTCGGGATTTGTGCAAACTTTTTTAGCATTTCTGGAGAAGTGTAGCGCGTGGTACCGCGAAAGTGCGAGATGTCCTTGGAGCCAGTAACGTTCTGCTGCATTTGGACAAGATCGTCAAGATCACCGATTACCAGCCGGTGATCTGTGGCAAGAGAAGAAGGTGTAGCGTTGCCTGATGTGGGTTTTAGGAGAACGTTTCCCGGCTTTAAATCGCCGTGGATAATGCTCTTCTCGTGCAGAAATTCCAGCCCGGTTGTTATCTGGGTAGTGTAGTTGAGGACAGTTGCATATTCAAGTTGGTATTGACTTTCTCTCATTCTGCGCATTAACAATGCTAGATCACCTAAAGAAATCCAAAATGGTAACAACATTTTCACTAAGGTTCAGTTGCATTCCTTATAAATTATACTTATATCTTTGTGGTGACATACCATTGCAGTAATCCATCATAAGCTCCACGGTTGCTCCTCCAGAAGCCTCGGTAATACTGATTTTGTGATACGTAACAATATTGTCGTGCTTGAGCTCGATGAGGATCCTCAGTCGATCGCGCCATCTGCTGTAATTTTCCGTATTCTCGAATATTTCAACTTGGTTAGGGAGATGAACAACTTTAATCGCAACAAATTTGTCCCCTGTAAAACTGCCTCGCTTTGATATCGTGGCTTTGAAAACAACACCAAATGCTCCTCTCGCAATATAATCCACATTTCCATAGTGGTATTCACAAGTGCTACCGATTATTTCGTGCTTCTCCAGTGTTTTAGTATGAGCAGCATCGTCTCCGTCCATCTGAGCGTATTGCCAAAAATCACAAATTTTCAAATATTATAAATAATTCTTTTTGTAAAAATAGTGGGAGGAAACCAGTAATAACTACCTATAATTTGTCGGTAAATGCTGCAGCCTGCGTCGTGTTTGCCTTCCTACGGTACTCGAAGTGGTTTTCTACCTCTTCTACTGAATAACACATTTGCTCCTGTATAGCTTATGGTGCGATTGAGCCAATAAAATTTCAAATACAGTCACCGTTACACATCTAGTTATTGACTGTACCTATCACAGTTCGCTTGTCATTGTGCAAATAGAAACTTTGATACCGTTAAGCACTGACTGGTACAGGTGCTTCACTTTAATCAGCTTGCGTTTGCATCGTACAGGCTCAAAAATAGAGATTTGGCTTGCAGGCTTAATAATATCGCAACAAATTGATTTTCAGCTGGATTCCGCTGAGTCCCTTCGCAAAATGATTATCAGTATATTACCAATACATTTTCCCATTTTGACTAAATGTACGAGTATATTCTCCCATCTGCTTGTTTTATGGACAGTTTTACTGCTTCTTGTCCCCTGCTTGAAACTACAGTTAAAAATTGTTACCAATGACAAAATTCTAAGCAGTTTCTGAATGGCAATACACCGAAGAATACTTTACACAGTGCTACGAAACCTTCCATACGAGTATAGGTTCATTTGAACTCTGTAGGTGTTTTTGAAGAAATGTGGTACTGCATCGTGCTTATATATAACTAAACCCAGTAAACTCCCGGTATTTTCAGATGGCATCGGTAGTTAATCGACGAACCGGCCAGAAGTACACCAAAGTCAAAGAAACAATTTGGTAGAAAAAGGCTTTACTCCCATCTTTACGAGAAGTACAGTTCATCTCTAGTACTCGACACCAGTTGATATTGCATGTATATTGTACACAGTAACCGCTAGAGTGCGAGTAATGGTTTTGTTCCCTCTGACCCGTTAGACCCAGCCTGTACAGCCACCAAATGCCTTTTGGCGTTTGATCTTCCACAAAATGATCGGGAACAAAATAAGAATGACGAGAATAGGAAACACTGTCATTAAGCAAATTACTACACGAAAGAATTCGAATTGCCGAGGAAAATTAGGAACACAAAATCCCGAAATACGCATGGACTGTCGATAATACATGGCGTCCAGTATAAATGGCGGTAAAGTCACCGACTGGCTGTAAATCAATACGGCAACCGATGTCGCGCAGGCCATACGACTGTTATGCCGCATGCGATAAAAATTCGGAAAGGTCACCGCCCAGAATCGGTTAAGGATCATGAGGAGGTTGGCGTGGATTGTGACACTGACGACAATGGCCGTTGAAATAAGATACCAGTCACACAGGTACTTACTATTCAGAAATGCATCTTCAGTTCTGTACAGCCGAACGCTGGGGATTTTGCAGAGCACGGAGTGGTACAAATTGACGAGGATAATGTTTATGATGTAAACACGGAACGGTGTAAAATGCACGCGGTCGAAATATAAGGCGTACAGCGCCAGGGCATTGAGGAGAATGCCGCATATGGCGTAACTCAGATTAAAGAGGTTAGCATAGCTCTAACCAAAAATATTTAAGGAACCAGCTGCGGATGTGTTGTTCGACATGTTATAGCACATTAAAGAATGGCATTTGTTGCACAAAGTGAACTGTGATAACGTATGGCTATAAGTTATAAAGGGGATCATATGGGAGTTCGCAGAGGCGTCAAATGGGATTGGTTATGGCATGCTGTAAGCGGCTAAGACCAGATTGGTAGATTGCTTTTCTGTAAATAATAAAACAGCAGCGAGGGATAAATGTAATTGCCCAGGTGTAGGAATGTGAATTATCTGTTCGATACTGAAGTACAGATACTGTAGCATACAGTATATACTAATATAAACGCAGCTGTCAATCAACTACTTGAGCCAGAGGAACCTCTATGCCCACGACCGGAAACAACCCTTAAATAATCATTACTGCCAGCATTTCCAAAATACTTACTGCAAAACAACTTCCGCACTATCGATACTTTACGATTAGTGTAGAAATACCATTGTGACATTGTCCAAGACTCTAGTGCCAACAAACACGGGACAGCATATGCAAGCACTGAAGAAGGCCAGATAAATTTATAAGGGAAATAGCAGTGAATAAAAATCCTATCCTGAGCCCGGAGTATTTAAATAATTGTCATTTAATACTGAACTTTGCTTCATTGTATGTATGCGTGTGATATAGAAAACGGATTGGATCGCATTAGTTCTTCAGTAACTTCACTTCAGTAATTAATTACTGTAGTGCAACCCTTGAAAGTTTCTTGGTTCACATGAATGGCAAGTTATCCGAAATTGAATGCCAAGTCTTATAAACTTGCAGAGTTTAGGAGGATTATTTAGGTTATTATTCTACTGCTTCCGACATGGGCACTCCCATATCGGCTGGCAGGTATTTTACCGCACCTTACCGGATATAACTCGTACATTAATGCAGGCTTTTCACGTCAGTGTAAACAGAACTCTATTCCGCTGATACTGTAAACTTCCTCGAAAAATGTGATTGGTTGCTTAATCAGCAGTTCCTTATAGTGGCAGAAAGCTGATGTTTTTGGTAGAATGACACTTCACGGAACGTTTTGCAATAATAGATTTACAGAGTTATTACAGAAAAACAGTTATTCTTACTCCACTGTAAAAAACACTCCTAACTCCTAAGTAAAGCTGATTTAACAAAGTTACCCAAAGGTATATCCAGAGGTTATCTAAAGTTAGGCATCCAAAGGTTATCCAAAGGTTATCCAGAGTAAACGAAGTTATCCAAAGGCATATGTCACGTGTTTATAGGAATATATGTAAAGGGTGCCGCTGCTTGTGAAATAATTTGCAGAATTACGACTTACCCGTACTGATCGAAGAATCCCGAAGTAGAGCATACGTATACTAATTGGGGCCAGGCGGATTATGTGGGGCCAGGATTATGTAGACCGCTGATTAAATTAATCAGCCGGTTTGGCATTTTATTCCGCAGTTTACCTTCAAATCTGAAATACTACCTTTATTTTCAAAAATTCAAGCGAATTTACAGTACTTACCTCTTGCGATAGGTTCCTAGGTAAATCAATACCAAGCGCAGATGGAAATAACTTATCAAGGAAAATGGTATACGTAATTGAGCAATCAAATTGGAAGAATTCGGTGGAAATACAGTATAACGAAAGCCATACCTTTACAGTTTACGGAGACGGTACTCTGTAGTCGACGTGTATAAAACTTCACTTTACATTTTTCATAAAACCTCACAGCGTATTGCACGGTTCTTATAAGCGGACCAATACGTAGTAATGTAAACAAGCAAAGTTTTACTGGGTCATGTTCCCCGATTTAAAACATTTTGCAGAAACGCACTGTCCGAACGATTTTATGCAGTTTTCAAGGAGTGCTAGTTTTCCCCCTTTGACATATGTACAGCGGGCATTTTTTAACGGAACTTCAGTGCTGCATATGTGCAAATCATCGGCGCTTAATCTTATGTGACTTACGATTAGTACGTACGTGTGACTCATTTGAACTCGCCTTCAAATACCAAACCCAATGCAGAAATGAGACCCCAACTACGGTATTATACCGGATCTCGGAGGAATTACATTTCCCGTTTCCGCAGTATCGGATAATCGACGATCCACATTCCCCCGACACCATGGCATCGCTGGCTGGCGGCTGCAAGTGAACACAGCGGTCGTCTTCCTTGGATTTCCTCTTTATTTCGGACCAGGACAACGATGAACACACGAAACACCGGAAAGCAGTCTAACGTTTTCGACGTCTTGTCGCAAAAACATAAACGAGCATTTTCTGTTTGCAAGCGCATTTGTGGAGGCTTGGTAACTATAGCATATGTGTATAGAATCATTGCAGTTAGTTGTACTAACATGTACACAAATGTCTCGCCGCACGATATTTCGCTGTTTTTATATGACACGACACCCTCTCACTGACAGTACTTATCATGTTTACCGAACTTTTGGGACCGGCTAGGTAAAAGAAAATGACCACTTCCATAGTATTTCGATTGCAGTGACGTGATTTTACGGTACCAGGACCTTCGGCATGGTTAAGTAACAAAATCTAGCAGCTGATGACTGTTAGAACGGTATGGTGCACACAGCATCTGGTGACGTAGCATTTTTGCTGACATATTTTAATTTCGATTTGTCGGCATACTCCCGGTGACTGGGCGTGGTCGTATGTTGTAGTACGCGTTCTGGCTGGATTACCAAACCGAATAATAATTCAAAGTAGTTGCAAGCGTATAAAAGAACCCGATCCCGCGGGTAAATGCCGGTAGAATAAATTTTTTGTATAACTACAGTTCACAGATACAGATTCAGTATTCCTCGGATTGAACGCAGATCCTTCTTCGTATTTTCTTGTATGTTGTATATTGTACTTGTATAACCTTCGCCGTTGATACGAAGGAGAAAGCTCTGCTGATTCTTTAAATAATTTAACCATAAGTTAACGTTAAGTTAACGATACTGAAAGGTCCCCCTGCTCTTTCATATCAGTGCCCCCGCATACCCGACGCCTGTACAAGAATTTACACTGACCGTATCTTTTCGATGAATTAATGTATATGCACCATGCTTGCGAATTAATCTCAACTCCTCCACGACTGATAAATTTTGTTTGTGAGATAACTAAATAAAATTAGTTTGAAATTCTGATGTTTTAAGGACGTATTACTCAGATGTTGAAAACCCATTTGACGTCTCTAGTGTTAATCTGTTTGACCAGCCACAGACTGTATTTATTGTAAGTAGTGCCAAACTGCCAGCCAGTATACGTAATAGATGATGTTATTCATGTTCTGCATAGTAAAGGAATATGAAAGTGTTAAAAAGTCTTATCCCTAAAATCAGCCAAGACGATGATGCACTGGATCGAACTGGGATGCCTCGGTATTATTAAGGAACGCTTTAATAATACGTTTAATAATACGCTTTAATATGTGTCAATTGTAAATTAGCCAGCAAAACAAATCTGAATAATAGAAAACCAATTATTTTAAAGCTATATATAAGAAACTGTAAGGGAAAAACTCAACGTGCAAAATCTACGGGAACATTTAAGTACCCAGCGTTAGTTGATACAATGACCACTAATTACATATTTACAGATAGTCGCATCGTCCAAAGGAACGATGCAAACGGAGCAGACTTCGCTGTCCAGTAAAACATACCCCAGTTCAGTTTTAGTTTCTTTCGGCAAAGCCCTCTATAACATGGATGCTGGGAAAACAGTAAAGCGGTTAACAATGAGCGCCAGGGTGTCGCTTAAACTTGGAAATGAAAGATGGAATGATAAGCGTAAGAGGATCAATCAGGACCTGACAGGAAAAGAGCAAACCTGCCAGGCGTAGCGCGGTATCGGAGACGGTATTCCAGCCATATCCACTCACGACTATTGTAATAAACGGGGTCCAGCAGACTACCATCGAGCTGACTAGCAAATAAAACATGACCATGTTGATATTCCGGGATCTGGATTTCCTGGCAAGGATTTTCTGGCCAGGTGGGTTCTCTGTTCCGTTGGATCTCACTGGTACAGCCACCACCTGCTTTTGCTGTTTCGCCTTCCACAAAATAATGGGGAATAAAATAACAATGATAGTAACAGGAAACACTGTCATTAGGCAAATTACAGCACGAAAGAGTTCGAACTGTGCGGGAAAGTTTGGTATACAAAATCCCGAGATGCGCGTTGATTGTCGATAATATACTGCATCTAGTATAAATGGCGGTAAGGTCACCGACTGGCAGTAGACCAGCATGGCAACTGATGCCGCGCACGCCACACTGACACTGTGTCGAAGACGATAAGAATTCGGAAAGGTCACCGCCCAAAACCGGTTAAGGATCATCAGGAAGTTGGCATGAACGGTCGCACTGCATATAACGGCCGTTGACACCATATACCAGTCACACAAGTACTTGCTGTTCAGAAATGCTTCTTCACTTCTGTACAGTAAAATGCTGGAGATTTTCCCGAAAACGGCGTGATATAGATTGACCAGGATAATGTTTACGATGTAAACACGGAAAGGCGTAAAATGTACGCGGTCCAGGTATAATGCGTACAACGCCAGGACATTGAGGAGAACGCCGCACACAATATAAGCCAGATTAAAGATATTAGCGTAGCTCCAACCAAAACTATTTAAAGAATTTGTGGTAGAAGTGTTGTTCGACATGTCCCACCACAGAATAACTAATGAGTGCGTTAATTTTTGTACATACTAAACTCCAAAAAAGTGTGGCTAATGGGTTCCCGAGGATACTAAAGATTACCATTATGGAAGTTCTTATCCCGAGCATAGAGTATTTGAATTACTATAGTCTGTGGCTTTCGTGCCATTAATTGCGCACTGAATTCCTTTTGCACAGGCTCGAGCATTACCCTTACCGCTACGTACGTCAATAACTGCTCTAATACAAATTATAGAATGATCTTCGAGAGTCGCCTAATATGGGTGCAGATGCGTTATCCGGAGTCTTAACGAGGTATCTAAGAGGATAATTAAGATTGTTACGACTGTTTCCAACATGGGAGCTCAACGCTCTCATTAGTCCGACTTCCGCTGACAGGTGTGTTTACTGCCCTATTACCGAATATTATTAACGAAACACTTAAGCTTTTGAATTAAAAAGAAGTCCTCATTCCGAAGACCTCATTCCGTCGAAGATGCTGGAAACTGACTTGAAAATTTCTTCCTTAGTGACGAAAACTGAAATTTGGTGGGCAGAACTGCGAAGTGCTATTCTGAATTCCGAACGGAAATCGCACTGTACCATCGAAGATTCTAAAACCGCTACGCGCATGTTTATTGGGATCGTGATCAAGTTTAAAAGGAGTAAGTATATAGCCCAGACAGCTACTACCGACCAAATTCAGCATCCGGTTTACCAATTATTCCGCATACGGTAATGTGAACTTGCAGGTGTACTTTAATCTGATTTTAATCAAAACTTTGAGCGAATTTGCAACACCAGTCCCTCTCGAATACTTCCTCTTTTAACTTTTAAATACTGTTTTGCGCATCCGGAATAGACAAAGAAAATGACGCAAATTAAAACAGACATTAACCGAAGAATTGAATAGAAATATGTCGGAAACCATATTTTCGTACGGAGATCGGAGTTCCATCAAAGTACATTTCTTACAAAAGGTCACGACGTTTAATTTTTGTTACGGAGCTAGTACGGAGCTGAAGCAGTAGAGCAACTCCTGAGGGTGGCGGTACCTAAAATAATTTTCTTTGTTACTGTTACCGGTACATTGTCTTTCAAAACCTTCTTTAATATTTGGATTAGACCAAAGTGAACGGGTGATGCAAAAACTATGCTTCTCGTGAAAACATTAACCAACTAAGTTGGTTCTTGCACAAGCACAAAGCTTTCTATTGTTACAAACTTTTCAGAATGTAAAATACTGCGAAGCAAGCCATAAAAATTCACTTTGGATGAATCAATTTTGATAGATGGTTGAAAATGCGACAAAGCGAATCGTGTCAGATTGCATGGTGATAAGAGTTCAAACGAGGCGAACAGATGGAGCAGACTAAATATAAACACTACACTGGCTGCATGGTGTGCTGCCCCCTTGAATGCCGCATATACGTGTACAAGTACATTGATTTGCCGATTACCAGTCTGCCTGATCGGTTGACCAATTAGTCCCAACTGTGCACACTGGAATGCAGCGCGTAAGCGACTCGCCCGCTCTCCACTCTTTATCAGGCCCGTTTTATGTGACTTTTAATCTGCATCATTTGCTGATTGACTGCACGTGGCTGCGTATGCCATTTGAAGGACATGACCGAGCATTTCAAGTAGTTCTCCAAATCAATCACTTCCAACAACATTAAAATTCTATTGTACGCTGAGTGGCATCGATATGTACTGTACACAGATTTCTAAGTATGGATTTAAACGGACAAGAAATAATAGACTCCAGGATAAACTGCTGCTTCCCCTTTTTAATTATACCGGCAACGTTACTTGTTGCTTTCTGTTTTCTTATGTTTTCTTCTAATTTATTAAATCATACTACAGAAAAAGTTTGCATTAATGCCAGCATTGCCTGGCAAAACACTTGATGGTGACTTTGATTTTCTATCATAAGACTTATGATTTCTATCTTTTTAGGAGTCTTGTATAGAAGTACGTTTTGCATTAAATTTTGATCACAGTAATTATTTCATGCATAATACTGTACTCGTATCACTCGCAAGTCCGTACAGTAGATTTAATAAACTATCAGTTAAACTGAATTGTGAGTTAAAACACAAACTGTGGATTTAAGCGGATATAAACGGATTCACGCCGTACTGCGCCGTAAGGCGTGGCTTAAGGTAGAAATTGCAGCCAATAGTAAATATCGATCACTGGCGCACATCTCACTCGTCACATATATACGCGCGCAGCCTCAGATTTTAATACGCAGCCGTGCACATGACCCAACTGCCGCCGGTCAAGCGGTTTTGTTATGTCTCAAATAGTGCAGCAGATGTATCGTATATCATTTGCCCCTTGTCTAAATCAACTCCATTCCACACCAATCCCCCCATCGGCCGGCACCACTCTTCAGCGTTAATGCACTGCCAGTCCGTCCTAAAAATAAACAATCCAAACTTACTACAGCTGTCGCTTGGCCCGACTATAGTGTACAGCGATAATTTCGACGCTTTATGGGGAATTTGAGAATCTGCGATTTTGCAATCTGTGGGGATGTGAGCGGATATTGTGCCGGTCACTAGCGCATCCGTCATTCGCCGCGTTCCCATTGCACTATAAAGTTCGAACAGTGTTTAATTGATCCGGTTTCAAAATTCAAAAAGCTGCTCATTTATCTGGATAAGTTTTCTCTGCGAGAAAATGCTTCGACGTAATAACGATGAATTCCGCATTCCGTTGTTTTTGGAAGAGCGTCCGTTGCCGCGTGTGCCGAAGTACTCTAAAGAAGTTTTTCGGGAAGTGTATGAACCGACGCCGAGTGATGTCGAGAAGGGTAAAAGCCGGTTGCAGAAATGGATGAGCGCGTTGAAGAAGCGCTTGGCCGGGAAAAAAAGCGATCAGTTGATTCAAGATAAGAATTTTATCAATGGGCAAACAGAGCCATGCTCACAGTGTTCATTGCGTGAACGACCGGGACGATCCCGTGGGATGATTGTGGAGCGGCAACGACCGGTGTCCATGTACGATTTCCGCGTAACGCACCAAGAAAAAGGTAATGCGACTGTGCGAAATCATAATGGCACTGCAGTTTCGAAAAAGCCAAAATTAATATTACTGTAAATTTTAATATCGTGCTTGCGCAACCGTGTCCCTGTGGCTGTGGCTGTGAGTTGCACATACACATTCGCGCACAATTTATATTGTTAATTACTTTATGCACAGCCGAAAATCGGAAAATGCGTTTTTGTTATCTTTCTGCTTTTTAATCTGAACAGATTGAACAATATAAGCAAATATGTACGGTTACCGCAACTTTAGCAGTTACTGAATGCCGGATACAATTAGCAACCATACGAGTACTACTTGTAACTAAATTACTAGACCATTAGCGGAAAACAAAGCGAAACCTGGACAAATAAAGTACGTAACTAGAGTAGATAATTAAGCGAAACCTAGATATAAAAGAAATAAAGCGAAACCTTAGGAGCTTAAAACGTATATTACAATTTACAAATAATGTTCACTTGCAGGTAGTTGCTGACGTTAGCTGCTTTATTACTCGTAGTTTCATACTATTATATGTTATTGAAATTTCTGTCTGTAATAATATTGCTGTAGCGGTCGATTACAAAGGGAAGCGAGTGAATATTTGTTTGACCGCATAGATGAGTGATTAATTGATGCGTAAGATAATGAACCACTTAACGGTAACGACCAAAGTAAGCTGATCAATGTCAAAATTAATCAATAATAAATTCCTGCTGATTTCGCTGACTTGCTTAAAGCTTTTCAAGTTATCAACTGTTTTCAAGCTTTTCAAGTCTTCAAGCTTTTCAAGTTTTCAAGCTTTTCAAGTTTTCAACTGACTGCTAAATTTAATTTTTTAAAACTCGAAGTGGACGTATGTTGACGATGGTTTCACGAATGTGTGCAATGTTCACATGACTGTGAGTCCGTCCGCCTATCTGTATTTCTCACAGCAGTCCGGTAGGTGAGCAGTTATTAAATTTTCCTTGTTACGCGATCTTTGGACTTTTGCTGTTTATTCTCATGGCTACTCGCACACGTAACCGGTAGCGATCGTAACAGTAACGCAAACTTTTTTTAACAGTTCTCACACTGACCCCGCATTCCAATACCGGCACCACATACGCAACAGTAGTCGCTGCGCCATACACACACAGCCCCACCCACGTTGATCGCCCCCACCAGCCCCAACAGCACTTACCACTCCCCGGGCTTATCGGACGCCGACAGCGTGATCCTGCCGGCCGTCCTGGTGCGATTACGCCGGAAAGGCGAAGCAGCCCGCGCGGCGGCCGAACATGATGGACAGGCGATAAGATATCGCCAGCACCGGCGTTACACACTTTACACCGATCCGGACAGCGATAAGCGACATCAGCCGCTGCCGGACACGTCGGACACCGGTGTATCGCATTCGTACACGTGTTCGTCGCGGCGCCCATACAGCTGTCTGTACGAGCATGAGCCGGATGTGGTGGTGTCTGCGCAGTCGGTGCGGCCGCTGCGGACAGCGGTGCCGGTACGGCCGGAATGGACCAATCGCGTCAGTTGTGCGCCGGAACGACAACGGTATCCACCCGGGACGAGAAAGAGATTTGGCGGGAAACGATTGTTGGTGCTGGATGATGCGGCGTTGTTGGCGATGCAGAATGGTGGAGAAATCCCGGAAGTGAAAACCGTTGGCCTTACTGGCATGTCCAGACGAGGGCGGAATTCGAGAAGCAGTATAATGCATGAAGCGATTTACGAAGAAGTCATGATTTAATGATAATCCCTTTGTTATTTTGATACAGGTTGTGTAGTGTATCGAATAAGGCTTTTCATCTTTTTTTTCCATTTCCGTTTGTTACTGTTATCCGGTCCGGTCCCAATTATGCAGTTAATCGAAATGCCTTTTATGCGCTACAACAGACGCATACATGAATTGATTAGTACAAGGCACACGAATATTGTGAATGAAAAAAGCGATGGGGTAGAAATCTAATGTTTCACACAGGACGCGCTTGCATCGTTATATACGCGCTTAAATTTTGCATGTCCGCAAGACACCTTTGTACCGGTATACTCGTATATTTCTAATCAATAAACAGATGGCCTTCAAACTTTTGCCGGAGGTTTGTTTTCCTTACACTGCTTATTGTTACTACAACAACAGAGTAAAGGCCTATTTTTACTCGGGCTTAAGATCGTCACATCTCGCGAAACTGAGCTATTTCGGCGAGTATAGATACCTTCACATCTCCGTCACAGTGTCCGTGACTGAGGTAGGTAGTATAACCACACACACGTCACCTTACCGTAAGTTAGTTTCGTCAAGGTTACGTTCGTCAAAATCTGGCTACTTTCGTCAAATTTTGGAAATAGAACTAGTTCTATTTTTTAAACTTCACGATCGTGAAGTTCTGCATGTTTATCGTATATTAGCATGCAAAACGATGCGTATGTTATTAGCGCACTTTCTGCAGGCACAATTGTACTTTACTACCTACAAACACTTGAAAGACCACTTTATAAATAATAAATTTTCCATTTCCCACGCAGCTGCACATTTGATTTTGACAATATTTTAAATATTAGTTTTGGGAGGCAATACACAAGTGAAACGTCGATCTGCAGCGTTCATCTTCGGAATTAGGTGAAAAATTAGAATTCAAGCGGAAATTAGAATTTAAGCGAAAAAAACAATAAATCGTTGTAAAACTATCAGTCAGCCGAACGCGCAGTGGATGATTAACCAAAGGTTCAAAGTTGCATAAATATCGCCTGTTGGAAATATACTGAATGTATCCCACCCCACAGGAAGTACAGCAGTCGTAATTTTATGTTGAAATCATTTTTAGAATTTCGAGGTTTGGCGAAACTGATTTTCGAGTATAACCAGGAGGTCGTTTTGCTCATGTCCGTGATGTAAGCCGGATCTTAGTGTCGGCTTTTATCACGGTCGTCAGATTTTACGGACATCAAGGTTCATGTGCATATTCTGCCATTTTGACGGACGTAAAGAAAAATGTGACGAAAGCCGAGTAAAAATAGGCCTTAATAATTCAACTGCAGAGTACTACTAGCATGCCCGCATGACATAGAGAATGGCAGAATAAGGTGGCATATTATTGTGCGCTTGGCTCCCACCAGAGTAGGCTGTCTGGTACCGTACAGAGTAAGGGCCACTGTTGTCTTTCCATACTGTATCAGCGCATGATTGCGAAGTATCCCCTATTTTATATGTCAGGAAGGTATACTTCTCGTCAGAATTTGCTCTGTGGTCGTGAATCGGCATCTCGGCCACGGTTAAAGTATGCGACTTTTCGCCCCCTCTTGTTCCCAGAGGATATTCAGCTATATCACGCCCAAGTAGAAATCGTCCACGTAAATCAGGAAGCCGTTGATCGGCAAGCAAGACCGCCAATTTCGGATAATGAACCGGGCTGAAATACTGTCCGTCGCATGCCAGCCACATGCCGGTAGAGAACGGTCTTTCGGGTACGCCACAATGGCTCCAATCGGTACAGCAACCAGCTGTTGAATTTGGTATCCTAGCGAAGTTTGATTGACCATTACCGTCTTCACGTCCGCATTCAAGGCTTTTTGTTGACTTTCCAGGGAACGGATTTTGTCCGCATTTGCCTCAACGAGAGATTCTTTAGATGTTACTGCCAACATTAGCCTTTGCTCCAGCTCGTGGCTTCTGGTTCTGGAGTTGTTGAACTGTGACGCAAAGGTAGTGCGATTAACTTTCAGCGTCAGTACATCTTCAGCTACAGAACTGCAGCTTTCATTCAAAGCGGCCACGTCGCGCAACAATGTTTGTAAAGTGTTTTTTAATGACGTTTGGTTTTGCAAAGACGCTTGTAATTGGTTTTGTAATGCTGTGATTTTTCTCATATTGTCAGAACATTCGGCACCTCCTGGTTTTTCGTCTATGGAACCATTTTGACGTACGTTCATACTGGCAACAGCAGCATAATCAGCACTGCTGCTACTAAAGCGGACCGTGACCTTTCCGAGGATCTCCCGGCTACGCAACGCTGAAAGGTTTAAGCACCGTACTTCCATGGGTTTCACAATAAACTGCTGTCCATTCCACTGTATCCTGTCTTTCGAATCCCGAATGTCATCCATGATGCGAAGAAATGCCTCCGTTTCTGAGGTAGTGGGAAAAGCGAAGCTAGTCGCATTCGCCGTTAAACTGCCGGTCATCAGTAACTGCATCCATTGCCTATTATTGGCAAATAATTCAGTGAACGTTGCAGCTTTTTGATCTGGCCGATCACTGTGCACCCGCCAAAATACGTCATTCCAGTTTCCGGTCAAATGAGCGGTGGATGAAACATTAGGGCGTAGTTGTGCACTAATGCGATGGATTACGGTTTCCAGTTCGTTGTTCTCCAAAAGTTCATCGGTATTCATATCGCTCTCCACAACTGCTTCAATGGTTTCTCGTACCAAATCCTGATAATCGTCAAATTTTAGGCAAACAAAGTTCGTAAATTCTGAGCGGGAGTTCGCAGCCATAAAGGTGGATGTCCAAAACAGGTGTGTCATGGCGACGTTTAGAACTGCTTTCCGCTGAGTAATCTGCGTGCGCGACGAGAACAGCACTTTCAGATCAGAAGCAAAATGTTTGCCTTTTACGGCGTTAGCAGCTTCGCGACACTGGCTATCGGATGCGCATGGGATATTTCCCGAAACAAATTGTGGATCGTTACCAATGGGAATCCACTGCTGCACAGTGCGATGATTATGCCAGTGCCCGATTGTCTGGAAGCGTACATATGTAATGGAATGGAAGAAGATGGATTGCTACGGTTTGGTTACCGGTTTGTCTGGCAATGTAGTTTTGCACATTGTTCTCTACATCGGTATCCCATAGTTTAATCTCGAATATGACACGCTTGTCCGAAATTGTAGTCGAGTTTGGTAGCAAACGGCAGAGCGGTGTGTAATAGTACGGCGCAGTGGCGGAAGCGGTAACATCTCTGTATATGCGGATGCGAATACCTTGATAAGGTATCATATATAGTGGCGGTAAGGACAGATTCAGATTTCCTGTTATAAAGAATACCTGTTGCTAATATCTACTGCAGCATCACGATTAATACGAGTATGTGATGGTCAGCGTATCACTGCGTGTGTAATGAAAGGTCACAGCGCTGACATAACTCGAGATGCGTTCTGTATATAACAATGTGCATTTTGCGCCACCGTTCTAGGCAGGTACCGTGAAATTAATATTACGTGTAAGAAAAATGTGCGTACCTTCCACTCGTAGTGCCATCGCAGCTGTTGCGAACAAAACAGCATTTAGCCACATAGTTGCCGATGTATTGTAGGTAACCAAGAAGAGAATAAGTAATTGTGCAATTACATGTATTACAGATTTAGGCTACCAGATGGCGAACGAGATTCCACGGGTCGATTTAGCGTAAGCCGTCTGGCAACTGAATTCTTCTACTGCAGCAAAGCTATGGTTCTCGGGTTTGTTTTGATCTCTTTCGGAAACTGATCAGTACACAAGTACCTACGTGCAAGAGCTGTGTGCAAGATGGCTGGTAAATTGATGCAATTATTTTTCGCTTCCGCTTTGGGTTGGATACTTAACTAAGGTCGTGACGTGCTTCGTAAGAAACTTTATCCTCGAACACCGGTGATTAAAATCATTGGAAAGCGAATGACTTAAAACTGTCGTCACATCGTGTGCAATTAAGTACCGGTGCTATTGTAGGCTGTTGAATTGTTGAGGCCTCGAACATACGGAATGCAGAATCCGAAGCATCAGAACTGAAAAAATTTTCAAAACCATTTCCTTACCCAGTAATACAACCAAGTGAACGCGCATTCAGCATACACTTGGTGAGAAGACATTATACTCAGTGGTCAACGTGTTTGATCATAAGCGGCATGTGCCACTTGCTTGCTGTGCAGTCCCCGCCAGCAGAAAATACTGTGCGTGTATAACAAGTTCTTGGTCGAACACCGTATCGCAATATCGTCGGTAAGTGTGTTACTGATATTCGCTACAACGATTCAAGCGCAATTGTTGCGATGTACATACAATATACATAATATGTGACAAAGTAGTGTCAACTTCACACCAAAGGAGACGACAGTGGGCATGCTCTCGACTCCCAAAGAACGCTTCACACTGAACATGCGGAACTGGCTATTTTAAAAAAAAATTTATTCCGAGACAATCCAAAGAAACCTGTACTGCAAAAAACGACCGGCACTGTGGAGAGGCGGGCTTCTTGAATCTCCCTCGTATTCACTGGAGAACAGCGCCATTACACTGGGCGTCAATTCCAGCTGACTCGCCGTAGTCTCCACCGGCGAGCTGGCGGCCTGCTGACTACTCCACGACCGCAACTCGGCGACAGTCGTCCCACCAAACGCCGCACCGCGCTTAAGAGATGCGATCCCAACCGGCTCAATTGCGACGTCTCCTCAATCGGCTGCGGATTGCCCCCCCCCCGAGTCCGTCCCGTGTTAACCTCATTCGCCTCCAGTTTGGGCGTTTGACGAAGGAGGCACGCATTTGGCGCTCCATGGGACTCTTTTGTCGGTCGATCAAGAAGGCCTTAATGATGTGCCCTTCTAGTTCCACCTCCTATGCGGGTTTGGGGAACACGGTGTAGAGGGCGTAGTTTGTTTGGTCGGCCGATGTGGGCCCGGATTTGCACTCCCCGCTGGAGATGGATTCCGATGAGCGCATGGGGAATAGTGCGCGCTGGGTGAATTCGGAGATGTAATGCGTGCGCGGTGTAATGTACGAGGCGATATAAGAAGAAGTTTTGCTAATTTTAATCTCTTCTATCTTCGTACGGGTTTTATTAGAGTAAGTAACGTGCTTCTCACTTGTTCATCCATTGCCTTTAATTGCTGTCGTTTGTATCTAGCGCAATTGTTACGTAATTTATGTTACGTAAAATGGTTTCTCTGCATTACAGTGAGCTTATACCTGTGTCGGCTACTGACGCACGAAGATTATGACAAAAGCCATGTGGTACAGGTCCTACGTACGGTACGTAGGACCTGTACCACCTGTGTATGGTACGTAACGTACCATGCACATACCACGCTTGTTACTGTAATAGTATGTATGCAGTCTGCATGCGACAAATTTTTGCAGTACCGCAGGAGAAGTCATTTTCAAATGGTTGTATTAAATATTAAAATTTTCCTTCCCAGACTTGTTATAAACATTGCAAAAAAATTTAAACGCGAAACACCACGGATATAAATAATGCGGAAGATTTTGTGTTAAGCTTTTGTGCCGGTCTATCTGTACATTTTGCATACGAGTATTAGCTAAACCTGCTGAAAACACTTTCGTTTCACTTGAGGTTTAACTCCCTCAACATATATATAGTTGTTTTACGTTAATTAACACAACTATTACTCTAGCAAGCCCGCATGATATAGAGAATAGCAGAATAAGGTGGCATATTATTGTGGGCCTGACTCCCGCCCGAGTGGGCTGTCCCGTACCATCTAGTGTAAGGGCCACTGTTGTCTTTCCATGTTATTCCGTCAGCGCGACTCAGCGAAGTATCTCCAATTTTATATGTAAGGAAGGCATAATTCACGTCGTCACCTGCTTGATGGTTATGATTCGGCATCTCGGCCACGGTTAAATAATGCGACTTTTCACCCCCTCTTGTTCCCAGAGGATACTCAACTGTACTACGCCCAAGAAGAAATCGTCCACGTAAATCAGGAAGCCTTTGATCGGTCAACAAGGCAGCCAGTTTCGGGTAATTAACAGTACTGAAATACTGTCCGTCGCATGCCAGCCAACACGCCGGTAGCGAACTATCTTTCGGGTGCGCTACAACGGCTCCGATCGGTATAGCAACCAGCTGCTGAATCTGGTATTCCAGCGAAGTTTGATTGATCATTACAGCCTGTACGTCCGCATTCAAGGTTCTTTGTTGACTTTCCAGGGAACGGATTTTGTCTGCATTTGCCACAACGAGAGAATCCTTAGATGTCAATGCCAGCTTTAGTCTTTGCTCCAGTTCGTGGCTTCTGGTTCTGGAGTTATTGAACTCTGACGCAAAGATACCGCAATTGATTTTCAGCGTCAGCACATCTTTAGCGACAGAACTGCAGCTTTCATTCAAAGCGGTTACGTCGCGCGACAATGTTTGTAATGCGTTTTGTAATGAGGTGATTTTTCTCATACCGTCAGAACTTTCGGTACCTCCTGGATTTTCGTCTTTGGAACCATTTTGATGTACAGTCATACTGGCAACAGCAGCATAATCTGCACGGCTGCTACTAAAGCGAACCGTGACCTTTCCGAGGATCTCCCGGCTCCGCAACGTTGATAGGTTTAAGCAACGTACTTCCATGGGTTTCACAATAAACTGCTGCCCATTCCACTGTACTCTGTCTTTCGAATCCCGAATTTCATCCATGATGCGAAGAAATGCTTGCGTTTCTGAAGTAGTAGGAAAAGCTAAATTAGCCGCATTCGCCGTTAAACTGCCGGTCATCAGCAACTGCATCCATTGTCTATTATTGGCAAATAATTCAGTGAACATTGCAGCTTTTTGATCTGGCCGATCACCGTGCACCCGCCAAAACACGTCATTCCAGTTTCCGGTCAAATGAGCGGTGGATGAAACGTTAGGGCGTAGTAGTGCACTAACGCGATTGATCATGGTTTCCAGTTCGTTGTTCTCCAAAATTTCATCAACATTCATATCGTTCTCCACAACTGCTTCAATGGTTTCTTTTACCAAGTCCTGATAATCCTTTGACTGCAGGCAAACATAGTTCTGTAACTCCGATCGGGAACTTATAGCGGTAAAGGTCATCGTCCACAGCAAGTGTGTCCAGGCAACATTCAGAAACGTCTTCCGCTGGCTGATCTGTAATTTGGATGAAAATAGCACTTTTATGTCTGCGGCGAGCTGTTCGTCTTGGACTGTCTTATAAACATCGCCACAGTGCTGCGTAGAGGGGCATCGGAGGCTTCCTGAAATAATTTGTGGATCATTACCAATGGGAATCCATTGCTGAATAATGTAGCGCTCCTGTCCAAGCTCGACTGACTGGAAGCGTACGTAGTGGAAGGGAAGAAGGTGAATTTCGGCTGTCTGGTTACCGGTTTTTCTGGCAACATAGTCATGAACATGCTTCTCCAGGTTATGATCCCACAATTTCATTTTGAAGAGGACACGGTTGGCTTGAGCTGCGGTTGAGTTTGGTAGTATACGGCAGAGTGGAGTATAATAATAAGGCGCACTAACCGAAGCATTGGCATCTCGGTATACTCGAATGCGGATATCTTCGTAAGGAAGCGTGTACAGGGGCGGCAACGACAAATTCAAGCTTCCTGTGATACAAAACGCAACTATTATTTGCTAACCGTAAGATATTTCCATCGTTATTATTGTTACTGTAAGACGCTGCATCACCGAACCAAGCGACGTTTCTGTTAAAACTGCATTTGAACAATTTTATGATGTGGTGGTTATTTTCTGCTTTTTAAAATTTTAACGATTTGCTTATTTTCGGTGCCTAGCAGTGCAAAAAAACGTTAGTGCGTATGTCTTTCTTCTTATTTTAAATGTTTACCTTGTACTTGCACTACCGTCAAACCTGCAACAGCAATAAGAGCGTCCTTCCACATGGTTCCGCTTCGGTTAAACACAAAAATAATAATAATTGTATTTTTACAGATTGTACTAACTAAAAAGCTGTAAGTTCCAAGTTTGAATTACGAGATCTCAAAACTTAATAAAGTTTCTGAAGTGAGCATTACTCGTACTTCTTCTGGATGGCACACCTTATCGGTAGTTCTAGGCTTCTAGAATAGCAAGCGTTAGTTTTGAGAAAGCGATTGTGACTGTATTGCCGAATGCCGATTATCAGATAGAAGCAATCATTCATCGCTTGGTCTGCAGGTTGGCCATAACACGATTTTTTATAGTTGTGACGCGCTTTGTAGGAGCGTTTGACCTTTCATCACTGTTGATTAAAATCAGTGAAAGGTTGCTGGCTTAGAAATGTCGTTAGTACGAGTTCGAACACTCTTTCAGCCGTATCATAATACAGGCACGATTATCGCAAGAGGCGATGTGTGCGACGAAGTAGCGTACATCTGTACATGCAAAATGCAAAAAAGAAAAATCTTGTCATGACCATCAAACAACGCCCTCAAGTAGATATGATGACATCATGCACAGCCACGCGTACTTCCGTTGTTTTTAAGTAGAGTAACCGCCAAAAGATACATTTCAAAATAATTCAGTTAAGCGTCGGTACTGCGGGGTGAAGGACTTCTCGCATCTCCCTCGTATTCAGTCGAGAACAGCTCCATGACACTGGGCGTCAACTCCAACTGACTCGCCGTGCTCTCCACTGGGGAACTGGCGGCCTGCCGGCTACTCCGCGGCCGCATCTCGGGTGACAGGCGCCCTACCGAGTACCGCACCGCACTCAACAGATTCGATCCCAACCGGCTCAACCGCGACGTCTCCTCAATCGGCTGCGGATCACTCTCCGAGTCCGACATCAGGCCATGCACCGGACGCCCTGTGTTAACCTCATTCGTTTCCAGTTGGGGCGTTGACGGGCGTTTGACGAAGGAGGCACGGATTTGCCGCTCAATGGGGCTCTTTCGCCGGTCGATCCAGAAGGTCTTGATGATCTGACCTTCTAGTTCCACTTCCTCTGCGGGATTGGGGAACACGGTGTAGAGAGCGTAGTTTGGATGGTCGGCCGATGTTGGCTCGGATTCGGACACGCCGCTGGAGATGGATTCGGATGAGCGCACGGGAAATAGTGCGCGTTTGGTGGATTCGGAGATGTGCACACGGCCGTGTTTCCCGGCGGCTTCGACACGCTCCACGATGGACAACGCGTCGCCCGCGACGCAGTACCGATGCATCTGCCGACGCAATAAAAAGTGACAGCTTTATTTTGCATGGTCAAACTGCACGGACAACTTCGTAGAGATAGTTCAGCGAATTTAAATAAAAACAATCAAACGAATTATAGCGCATAATGACAACCCAATAAAGCGGATAAGAAAATCGCAGCACAGCGGTAATTGTAATCAACGTAATTTCAGCTGAATAAAAAGTTATGAACTGCGGTTAACAACTCTTGTCAACGTATTCTTCTGTTGATAAAATAATGAATATTACTTATTCAGTATGTTTACAAATAGTCTGCTAAGACATCATCCATGAAAATGAATATTGTACATTATAATACATGTACATCATAGCATTGCAGTACTTTGAACGAGTATATGCAGTCAACTTACCCCTACACCAGCGACACCGGCAACTATACTTCCCGTATGCACCCCAATGCGAATCTGCACAACTTCATCGGGAATATGCGGAATGGGGAAATGTCGTATGAAATCGCGAATAGACAGGGAACAGTTGACCATTTCCATGGCGTGTTCCATGGGCGAATTGAAATCATCCTGATTCGTTGCCCCCGCGATAATCTACCATTAATAACAAAATCGTTAATAATAACAAATTAATAATTAGACAGAAGAAATAAATTAAAACGGCAAGATTTTGTTGGTGTTATTTGAATTATGATTATTGTTCAAGTAGCTTACACACACAGTATGCATCGCCGATGGTTTCCAGTTTCCACACTCGGTACGAATTCAGGATGTCGTCAAAACCGGTGTACAATTCCGTCAGCATGACCACAATTTCCTCCGGTGTACTGCGACTGGACAATGCGGTGAAACCCTGCACATCGCTGAAGTACAGGCTCACGGATTCGTGGTACGTTGGGCGGACGAATTTGCGGAATTTTAGCTCGTCGGCCACTTTTCGCGGGAGCATCGAGTGCAGCACCATGTTCGTCTTCCGGCGCTCCATACGGAGATCCAGCGCTGTGTACAGGTACAGAACATACATAAGTGACCTTTATCAGTTATCGTTTGTTCGATTCAATGTACAGTTTATTCTGTTTTACGTATTCTGCGTCATAAACGTATAACGTAATAACAATTACAGTTACATGTCATCAGTGACCTTCATCCTAATTAGCTATGGATTTTGTGTACAGTGCCCTTAGATATATGTAAGTGACCTTAATTTTATGTTATGTAAGTGCCTTCCGTTAAATTTATTTTGTGGACGTAACATTCAAAGAAATATCCATTTTTTTTAACTATACGCTCACTTTTATTCTTGTGTTCTGTCGCGATATCTTTGACTTCCATGACGAAATGCGACACAAACGTCCGAATGGCGAACATATTCAGCAGTCCACCGGCAATCGTCAGCATGATGGTAATCCCTGACCATGCGCATTTACTGTACGCCGATGCCTCCATCTCATTCAGGATCCGCAAAGTCTCCTCAGAATTCTCCTTCATAAACCCTTCCACCAACTCCATATACTTCCCGTTCTCCACGAAATACTTGGCTCCAGCAGCAACATTAACATTCAGCGGCTTTTCTGCCGGTAGATAAATATTCTGCAGCATGGTGTCAATATTCCCCAGAAAGGTCAAATCTACCGCGTTCATCGTAGTCTGTACATCGCGGATGAACTTTCTAAACTCCGGTGCCATATAGAACGCACTCCCGTACAGAATCGTCTCCTCCGACACGGCGCCGACGAAATCCGCCCACAAATTCCGTTTCGGTTCCAGAGTGGTGGCGTTCCCGTAGTACAAGAACAGGGCGCCTAATATGCGTTTGTGATTGAGCATCCGGTGGAACATGAAGGCGATGTCGGTGTCCAGATAGTTGGGCCACACCGGTAGATCCGCATGGGCGGTGTACGTCGCCTGGATCTGCGCGTAGAAATCAGCGAGGAGAGAGACATACCACGCCCATTTGGTAAGGATGCCGGCAAGGGTTGGGGACGGGTCTCGCGTGCGGTGGGTGGCGAGCAAGAAGAGGAATTCATCGAGGGATTCGTACGTGAAGGTGCGGTGTGGAGGGAAACGGATGTCCGACCAAATCAGTGGGAGTTGCTGTAATTCGGTGTCGGTGGCATTGTACGCAGCGAGTTTGGGGCTGAGAGTGGCGTTGCTATCGTGGAAACAAAAAAGAACTTTCAAGAAAAGGTCCTACTTTCTTCAGAATTTATCTAATCTGCGAAATGTAGGTTGTATATAATATGTATTGTATATACAACATACATTGCATGATTTGCATGTACAAAGTGATATTATCACTTGTACACGTCAAAGGGATAACAGTACTAGTGATTCTCAATATTTTCCAAAATATTATTTTAATTTTTCTGCATACAATTCACAGAGCATAAACGTTCTAACAATAATGTTTGTAAAATCTGAAACAAAAAACAGTTAAAACTTTCGTGGAAGACCTATACGGGTGAAGTTGTGAACTGATGTTCCATAATTCAGATAAAACGTAGAATTTAAAGACTCAAAATTGTCCTGCGTTTCGGTTTTTTACTGATAAAGCGGAAAAAATAAAGCATTATGACGGTCTCACTGTATACTTATAATTGTATATAATTATGAAAAACTACACTAAAAAGAGTGGCATTTTTCTACACTCTGCATTAAAAGTGGGCGCAAATTTTCGAATAATTCCACCTGAAACAAAATTGATAGCCATTTCTCTGCAATTGTTCGTAATTTTGCCACGGTTATAGTATTACGGCGATATTACAGTTTACAGAGTAGGAACACTGCCAAACAGCTACCAGTTTCTGTATCACCAGCGGGATACTTTTATCTGCTTATACAATTTAATGTGAGCACAGTTACTCTTTGACAAAATATCATGTGGTTTAAATTTAGCCTTAAATGTTGCTTTTAATTGATTATTCGGTTTATTACGTGCTAAGAGTGGAGACCTTTTTTTGCTGCCACCCTAATGCAAATTAGTGTATATAACTTGTCTTAGGGCTGTCGAAAACTATTTGGAAAATATATGAAAGATCTATATAGGAAATCATTCTAAATCAGTTAGAAAAAGTTCCATTGTGAGGATTTTTTTATGAGACCGCACCATGGTACGCGGTAACAACTTGTACTTACCATTAGTACCGTAAACGGTAAAGCAATATGTATCTATCATAACTGCATCAGTTGTTAAAGAAAATACCATTTTTTATTGTCGATAGCCCTTCAAGTTTGTCAATTCTGGCTGTTTGCAGTGTTCTGAAGTTAGCGGTTGACTGTTGCAACTTGCAATTGCAACCTGTAAACTTTGCTTGAATTATGGTAAATTTGATTCCTTCAGTTGTTCGCCGCAATAATCTTGCGTCGCTCACCGTAAAGAAAACGGCGAACGCGGCGCAGCGATCGGGATTAAGAATGAATAAATTTATATAACGCATTGTACCTCTTGACTGTCCTTCTGGTTTTTGCTAGTTTGAGTATACCGTACCATAAAATATTACTATTTTTTATTTCAGTTTCGCATCATAAGCGAATGTGGACTTATTATTAGATGTATAAGCCGGAAGCCCCCGAAATTTGCTTAATTATTTGCTCAAAAACTTTGGAACAGGTTTTTTATTTAGACCTGTTCACATCAGCTATAATTAATTAACAACAATAAAACATAAAATACAAGGGAAAAAATATTTTACACTGCCGTGAAAGCAATACTTAGCGCACCTTACATTGGCAATAAGGTCATAAACCGCCGCGCCTGCTTCTGTGTTGAGCTTGAACGCCACTCGGGCGATCTGTGTGTTCTTGTGAATTACTTCGTTCAGGCGACTGTAATCCCGCACGGTGTTTAATCCGATTACCAGGTGGCTGATAGCCCAGGCAAACAGGATACATGATGGGACGAATACCACGAGAAAAGCTAAGGTTTTACGATAGGGTCGTTTGGCTCTTTGCTCACGCACAAATTCGTTAAATTCATAGTTGATTACCACACCGGCGCCGAAGCTGTAAATAGCCCGCAATACATGGTCCATCTGTGCGTGTTGTAAAACTAAAGCTAAAAATCAAAGAACCCAGGATGCTTGCAGTAATTCCTAAAAAAACAATTACAGAAAGCTCGTTTTATTTGTTGGGTGCAATAAGGAGTTTCTTAGCAATGCAGCAATAAGGGACATAATAAACTGTGTTCGATTGTAGTATGGTGGCACAATGCTGGAGCCCTAACGTGCTGCACTAAAATAAAATGGCTGGTATGGCCAGTTTCTTGTTGGGACAGTGTACGCCATAAATTTTTTACGGGGAAGCTGCAGCATCCGCGCTATTTAATTGCTGCCTTAGACCCATCTCAAGCGTTCCCGGTACGTTCCTGCACTCGTTATATGGAGATTACAGGGATGGGGTGTCGACAACCGCATATGGCATTGGTAATCCGGAACACTTAGGTATCAGAAAGAATCTACTCGTAGTGTAAAACATTTAAAAACAAGTCGAAATGTTTTTGAAATTTTTCTAAAGATAAAAAAACAGAAACACTAGAAACGCAACCATATTTAAAAGTTTCTGAAAAGTTTTAAGTTGAAAATTTTTATTCTGTTGTTACGTGTTCTGATCCGTCTGCATGCTGCCAAACTGTCAGTAAATAACGCCAGATGCCAGTTATTTTTGCAAAATGTTGCACAGCTTCTTCATTGTCAACGCATCAGGCGACATTTTCCTGGAGAAGCACTGGAAATCGGTGATCCACCGCAGTATCTGCGAGTATTTCTTCGAAGCGCAGAAGAAATACCGCAAACCCGAAGAGATCCCGCCTGTGTTGCAGACGCCCCACCACTACCTAATCATCATCTATCGGTCCAATCTGTTCTTCATCGGGGTGGTGATGAAGGAATGCCCGCCGCTCTTCGTCACCGAGCTGCTGCACCGCATTGTCGACGTGTTCGAGGACTACTTCGGGGACAGTAAGGAGGCGACGATTAAGGAGCATTTCGTCGTGGTGTACGAGCTGCTGGATGAGATGCTGGATAATGGGTACCCCCTGGCGACGGAGAGCAACATCCTCAAGGAGCTCATCAAACCCCCCACGTTCTTGCGCGCCCTGGCCAACACGATGACGGGGAACACCAAGTGAGTGGCTTGTATATTTTTGAATGCAGTTTTAAAGGCAATAGGGGATGAGGGATCCGCAACCGTAAATACGATCGATCAGCGAATGTGTTGGTATAATTTCGTGAACTCGCCAGTTCAGTGCGTTTTGGTTTTTTTAGTTACCTGTAGAATATAATAATTTATTTTCTTTTATTTTTATGCAAATTTTAAATAACTGGAATTTTGGCAAAAATTTTTTGTCCATAGATTTCAGATTAACAAATTAACTATGCAGTATGGGCTCGTTAAAGCGGTGAAAACTTAATGCGAACTGGAAGGTGGACCGGAAAGTATGCCATTGCGAACGATCGTAGTGTGGTGAATACGTGTGTAGATACTTCACCTTGGCTTAGCTACATAAAGTTTAGAGTAGCAAATACAGTTTGAAATATTTAGACATTTGTGATCGAATTATGCAGGATTTTTTTCGGCCGGATTGATTTCAGCGGGATTTGTTCGTTCATTCACAAATGATTTTTAGTGGCGAAATGTGCTGAGTAGGTATTTCGGTTTTGCAGTGTGGCCCAGACATTACCAACCGGACAGTTGTCCAATGTTCCCTGGCGGCGTGCTGGTGTGAAATACACGAACAACGAAGCTTATTTCGATCTCATCGAGGAAATCGATGCCATTGTGGACAAATCCGGCAGTATTGTTAGTGCGGAAATCCAAGGGTAAGCTATGTGCATGAGAATTTGTCCAAAAGATTTTATAACAGTTAAACACACTTTCATAAAAATTAGAGCTCGAAGTGCGACCAGGAGTAAGTAAATCTTTTTCAAATGGAATTTTAGTGCAGACTTATAAAAAATAATAAAGGTGACCACTCCGTACACACCCTTTCACTCCGTACACAACCTTTTGCACTCCCTTTCATTCCGTGCACAACCTTTTTGCGCTACCTTTCATTCCGTACACAACCTTTTAATTTTTTTATTTTTTCACAGCAGAGTTACTCTATTTCTAGAATAAATAAAACGCGCAATCTTGACCGTTTTTTTTTATTTTGAACAGCAACGTTTTTATCCCTAATCTCCGCAAGACCTGCTCCGTAACACTTGTTTATTCAGTCTTAGCTTGCTACGTGAGTTATTTGCCGACGCTGTCATACACCAGGACGTCTTCGTCGGAGCGGTCCCATGATGTTGCAAAAAAGTAGCAATATTTTTTTTGTAGTTTTGCTTTTTTGTAGTAATATAGATTACAAGTATTTAAGTATAATATATATAAATATATATAAGAGTTTGGTAGTGCACCGAGTGAATGGTAGTGCACAAAAAGGTTGTGCACGGAATGAAAGGGAGTGCAAAAGGTGGTGTACGGAGTGAAAGGGTGCGAAAGGGTGTGTACGGAGTGGTCACCAATAATAAATTATCTTGATCATTTTCACTTTGTTATTTAATTTTGATCTCAGAATCACTGACGGTTGGCAACTTAAATCAGACTTAGAAGTGCGATTAGTGTGATAATAATATCAAAAAAATATGGCATTGATGGACAGTAAAGGATTTTTAGTGAGGAAAAATTTATTGTAGGATTTTTAGTGATGAAAATGCTGAACCTAAATTTATTTATTTATTTTACAGGTACATTGACTGTGTGATGAAACTGAGCGGTATGCCCGATCTCTCGCTGACCTTCGTCAACGCCCGCATCTTCGACGACGTCAGCTTCCACCCGTGCGTCCGCTTCAAGCGCTGGGACTCGGACCGGATGTTGTCGTTTGTGCCGCCCGACGGCCACTTTCGGCTCATGTCGTACCACGTGGGCTCCTCCAGTCTGGTGCCCATCCCCCTCTACATCCGCCACAATATCCACTTCAAGCAGGGCAGCAACGGCAAGCTGGACATCACCGTGGGCAGTAAGCAGTCCATGGGACGCCCGGTGGAGGATGTCAAAGTGGACATTCCCATGCCCAAGACCTGCATCAACTGCTCGCTGACGCCCAATCAGGGCAAGTTCACCTACGATACCGTGACGAAGGTCGGGACGTGGGACGTCGGGAAGATTGATCCGCAGAAGCTGCCTAATATACGGGGAACGGTAAGATGTCTCCGTAAACTGAGTGGAACATTAGAATTAACTGCGATTGTTCGTCACATTCGCTTTGACAAAAATTGAATGAAGCTAATGAAGGACGATAATTTCGTTGCAACTTTTTATTTGGGTGTATCATACAGTCATTATTAAAACGGTTTGTAGCGCGAGAAAAACTCCATTTTTCTTGCCGTTATGTAGTAAACTTTTTGTTGACCTTTTGGGTTTAGAATATAAAAATAATTTAAAAATTTGAAAACAGCTGAAATAACAACGTAATTATTTCCTGAGATGTGAGTTGGTACGTTTCTGCCTGTTTGCTGTGTGACCTTGCGGAAAAAATAATGCGATTTCCTTGCGGATGATCCTTGTTTCTTTATAACCATTTCACGAACATCAACAGTCAACAGTAGTTCACAAAAATCTCGACTTTCATCAGTCATTAATAAGTTGAGCCAACCTTGTGCAGTTTGAAGAAAATCTCCCCGTAAATGGGAGATGACAATTCCCTGCATTAGTACGTCAAAGTACTCTGTATCCTGTGGTTCCGTAATTATTACCTCGCATAGCGTAGCTGGATATCAGGAAACAATCGTAGTGCAGTGGGTCATGATAAGGTGTAGCGGCTTTCTCGACATGGATATCTTGTGGAAGTTATGTGATGTGGTTTCCACTGGTTAACAAGCTTCTGTAATGATTTATTTTTGTAGATCCAGCTGACCAGCGGCTCCGACACACCGGAAGCCAATCCGACGCTGAGTGTGCGCTTCAAAGTGGAGCAGGTTGCCATGTCGGGACTGCGCGTTAACCGGTTGGATATCTTCGGGGAAAAGTACAAGCCGTTCAAAGGCGTTAAATATATGACGAAAGCCGGTTTATTCCAAGTTCGAACGTGAAATCTTTTTTTAAATGGATTATTTAATTTCTAATCAGAAAACCAACGGATTAATTTTTAATGGTCGGGTTGTGGACGTGTAGTTAATTTTTGACTCTGTTCTGTTGTTTTTAATGGGATATGTGTTGTAGTCTCGTGAACATTCCACTGCAGAATGTCGATAATGTTGTGACTCGCATTGTGGATGATAAAGCGGTTTAATTTATTGATCTTAAAGAAGAATATGAAAATTTTGGATTGATCGTGATTTGATGGCTATGATTGACATCTCCACTCGTGTACGCTTTCGTCAGAATTAAAGTACACCTTAAGAAATGGTTATGAAGCAGATGTACATGATTATTTAACGGCTAAAGTACAGTATCAAAGCAGCTTGGAAAATCCTGCTTAAGCGGTTAGTGCTGAGTTTTCCGCTTCGAGGTCATTCTGCGGTGTGGCTAATTAACCAACAAAACACAAGAAAATGTTTCGATTAAAAACAATCGCAGGATTCGGTGATTGCTTGGCGCCCGAGGGCGCAAATCTTGAAGACGCCACCGATACCTTGTTTGTTTTATTACTGAAGACTGAAAAGCATAAAATTTGCTGCCTCACAAGAATTTCGTCCGATAGATTTTCGTTGAAGTGCATTTTGACTTTTGTTCCAACATCCAGTTTCCAACTGCCATCAAAATGAGAATTTTTCTGGTTGTGACCTTTATCGGTAGGTGGGATTTCAAAAGGGAAATTATTTGCCAAAATACGTACACATGGCAGCTATTTTGGGTTTTATTCAGCTTCAGCATTAGTACCCTTTACTGCGAGCCAGGCGTATGGCAACAGCAACAACAATGGCGACAATACCGGCACAACAACAACGCCAGCCTCTGGGGCGTGTCTGCCGGTGCCCAATGTGATTTCTCCACAACCTGCATTTAACATCAACGTTAGCCAGGTGCGAGATAATAAATAAGTCACAGTCTATAAAAACGTAAGAAAATTTTATTAAGCACTTAATATTATTTAATAATATATTAAGTGCTTAATATTATTTATTAAGCACTTAATATATTAAGCACGCTTATTTTATTAAGCACTTATTAAGACTTATTAATAAGTGCATATTATAGGTAAGCGCTAAAAATATCAAAATATAAAAATGTATATATAAACTCACATGGAATTATGAATATAAACCTAACATAAAAATCATTGCTTATCGCATGATTTTTCATTAGAGTGGCTTGTTTTATTAAGTATGTACTTACCGTAATTTTCTTTAACGCCTACGCAGCTGATGACCGGCAAGCCGTGGTATTCTTATATTTTATACGGTAACCCCGATAAAGCACCCATTACCATGACGAACGTGATCAATTATTACGACTCACTGGGTCGCAGCAGTGAACCAACACGGAACGTGGCCGCGGAAGTGGTCATCCAGGAGAAGGTGTGGTCGGAGGGTGGAGCGTGTCATGATGCGTTGGAGATATCCTGGTTCACCGTGGACGGACGCCAGACGGGACCTTATTTTGTCGTCGCGCCCAACAACACGCTAATCGCTAACAGTAATTTTCAGTAAATAAGTGTTGATTTTAATTTAACAAAGAAACAAGTAGTTATTATTGTTATAAAATTAAACATCGAAATTTATCCTTCAGCAAACAACAGTGTATTTCAGTTTCGCTAAAATTTATTTAAGTATAAATTAATGTTAAATACGGTTAACTTTAATTACAACAACTGTGTTGTTTAAATAGTTTACTTTGTAGTTGGTATCTATTAAGCTATTATCTGTTAAGCTACAATCGATTAACAATTTATTTCAGTTCACATACAGCTGCATGGTAATTATCAATCTTAATTACGATTAACGGTATGTATTTGCGATTTTTGATATTAGTTAAATTTATAATTGATTCGCAAGTAATATTCAATGATTGCATAGGCTTCGATGATTCCATTCTGTGGGCTACGGATGGGAGTACGTACGCACTGTTCCACAACTGCGACCAGCGCAATCCGGATACCGGCAACTGCAAGAGCACCTACATTTTCGTGCACTCCACCATCAAGCCGAACACGATGACCGACAGTCAGAAGCAGACCATCGCCACCGCGGTCAACAACGCACTGAAGCCCTACTGCATCACCGTAAACGATTTCCAGACGTACACATGGAACGATGCGCTGGGGGTGTGTCCACAAGCGGTCCGCGAAAACCATCCGGACTGCTTTAAAACAATTGTCAACGCGTACCGGCTCCTTCTCGAGTGAAGCTTTTAATTTATAACTGTTATGATGTCATTTGTATGATGTCATCGGGAATGCCTTCACGCCCATAGGCGTGTTCTTCCCATGCTTTTTTGATTGCATAAGCAGGTTGTTTATGTTTGCTATCTTTTTTAAAGCCTTTGATTTTGGCATTTGCCGCCAATGTAAGCGCGATGTCATCGCGAGTTTTAAGAGCTGCTTTTTAATTGAGAGTTTTGAGTCGAGAGAGTCACCAATAAATTAAAGTCCATCGCAGTACACACTGCAAGAGTCTGTTTCCCCTTGTAACATAACTTGTACGTACGTACACGTAATTGGGTGATGTAATTAACGTGCAACCCTTGCAATAAATAGGCAGTTTGTGTGGCTCTGTTTTTCTGATATAAAAAAATTGTTGCTTGTTATCGTTAAATTGTTCTAACGAAAACTTAAATCGATTTTTTATTCTTCGCATATTTTTAGCACGGAAGTAGTGTATCGTTATTTATTTAATTCTTGCGCTATCATCCACAACAAAACACCGGGCATTAAAAAACCAAAATTATAAATTTGTCTGCACCACAGAACACAGCAAAAAAAGGGGCAATGCGGAACAATTCTGAGATACATGGATTGATCTAGTAAAAGTACCGGCTCGTTGCAGACACACAACTGCACTACTGACGAACACCCGCGTCCGAGTCGTTGCAACCGGTTTTTCGGACAAAGACACCGGTGTATAATATATTTTTGTTGAAATTATATCGCCCCTGGTAATCACTGTCTTGATAAGATAAATAATGAATTAACGCAATAATTTCTAACTTCTTTTTATTGTTATATTAAAATCAACGCGTCAAGCTGCAACGATCCCATCTTTAGTTTGCAGTTCCGGATGCGTGCACGTGCAGTATATTGTAATATAAGCTACCAATAATCTCCTTTCGATGCCGGTTCTCCGCTTTGTTTGAATTGTTTCTTGTTAGTCGGCAATAAAAGGCCGTTCTTCTACAATAACAACAGAAGTTAGAGATTACTTAATCAGGCCTGAGAACAGGACCAATTTAATTGTATACCGCACCCACTACATCGTCCCAACGGTTGTACGACACAGCATCGGATGGATCGAAGAACGAATGTGATCGCTGTTTTCGCTCTTTAATCCGCTGCAATTTTAAATTTAGCACTTATCCACGATGAACGTACATATTATTTTTATATTTGTTTGTCACTTTTTACTTTAAAAAAGCAAATAATCAATAAATGTGAGTATTATCCATGTGCATGAGCATCTCGTCGTTTTCTTTGTGTTTTACTCGGTATATGCTTATTTTTAGGCGCTGTATACATTTTATATAAAAATTGATACGAATACGTATCTGCATAAATATAGATATGGAGTGTATTGTACTGTAAGTGCTATAACACTAACCGTCGATCGCTTCCGTCTGCCGATAACAAACATGGCGCACAATGCAATCAATCCCAACTGGAGAATAATTCCAATACTGATCAACACCATTATTCCTATCGACAGACCTAGAAATTACATGCAGAATCTTTGTAGAGTATTAATGGACAACGGTTATAAAATGCTTGTGCATGACGTACCGTTATCGGCCGGCGGCCCAAAGTGTGATGGCGAAGACGTGCGGATGATGTTCTGTGGAGTTGTCGGATTGCGCGTGGAGTGAGGTGATACAGTACTCGAAACATCTGTACGCGAAGTGGATGGAGCTGAAGTCACCAGTTCTCTGGTTGTGGTAGTCGCTAGACTCGCTGCATTAAATAGAAAAAAATTGTTCTGGACACATGGACCTCGTTGGAGAATGCACTGAATTCATATAGTACTCGTTGACCGATAAAGTAGTGATTGTGTGTACATTGTGTGGTGCTGGTTTGTATCGGAGTTGGCGCATTAGTTGTGTTTGCGAATGTCGTCGTATCAGTTGTAGCATCCTGCACACTACTGGTCACTGCGGCTATTACAGGAACGCCGGAAGTTTTAGGGACGAAATCTGGAAGAAAACAAACATACGCTGACCTTAATTTAAATTTTTTTGTTTATAAAAGGTGAATCGCGGGAACGATAGGTATACGTACTCTGCAACAAGGTCTTGTTTAAGTTATCGAGATAGTCCTTGTTAATGAAGGCAGCAACAACGGTGGTGTCGTTAGGACGGTAAATCTGACCTTTATACGAGCCGCACTTCATCAGATTGTCGGCGAACAATTTTGCGGCTCCATTTGCTCTTGTTATGTTGGATTCTGATAATTTATGACAAGAAGATTTTTGGAATAACCGAGTAAAAGTTAGACTTTTGCATGCAAAATACACTTGTGACAATCTTCTATCGCGCTTGTACCATTTTCGGTTACGACAGCCAGAGAAAGCGCTCGAGTACTATCCACACTCTTGGTCACATTGGTAATGTTCTCCCAATTTGTCACGTCGAAAACTTTGTCTTCCCAGAGAATAAAGCTGCAATTTATCAAAATTCAGTGGGCAGAGCGCCAGATGTTTTTAAGAATTTATCAATGACCTACTTGAATCCTCGTTTAAACTCCGTCTGGTCCGCGAGAAGTCGAGGTGGGGTAATTATGGTCTTTACTAGCGGTAACAGAAGGGCCACGCTCAATAAGCCATGCAGTGGATGCGTGGTATTCTGCAGCGGCCATTCGTCCAATGGGCGGATTTGTACACCGGAACAGCTTTCCATCGACATCTTGTGCAACGGTACTTTCCTTTCTTGCACAAGCAATTCCTTTCCTAAATTTAAACGTTTATCCCAGATCGATCAGTTTGAGTGTGGTGCAATTTTAACACAGCATTTAGCTAATTTTAGTTGTGTCCAAAACAAGCATCTACAGTCTTTCATTTAGCGCGCTAGAACCTACCACATGAATATGATGATGATATCACGGTATGATCATGCAAGGAAATGACGCTCGATACACTGCCTAAGCTATCTTAATCAGCACACCCTATCGCTTTCATGAACACTTCACAACCGGCATTCCAATTTGTGGATACGGAAAACACGAGCAAGCGTTCAGCCTTTTTTTATCAAGATTGACTGTGCGCCCTTAGGCACACACTGTGAGCGAGTTAATTTAAATTATCATCACGAAAATATCAGCGCAACACAAACAGCAACCGGAATCACGAAAACTAAGGAAAATGCGCGGCAACCACAGCGCCGGGTTCGGTTATTTGTGATCTACGCTAAACGATCTAGCATATTTCTGACTGCGACATTGCGATTTGAAAATCATCGGCATCGAAGACCACGTAACGGTACAGGGCTTCACTGGAGGCCAAATGCCGCAGCTGTTCGGCAAGAAGATCGAAGGAGGTTCGCTTCAGAATATCCGCTTCCCAACATTGAAGCATTAGGTCATACCTGAAAATCTGAAATTAAGGACCACCGACTTCACGAAATACTCTTCGCGTAGAATACCAGATTAGCTAGACGGTTTAATAGCGTACAAGTGATCGGGGCAGGGTGGTGGTTGTTGTAGGCGATTTCCGTTTTGCAAGTATGAGATCAACTTCACAACGTCGGTCTTTTCCATGACCTCTTTGTACGGCATTTCGCACCAGGTATAAATCTCCCAGAGCACCACACCGAAGGACCACACATCACTAGCCATGCTGAAATCACCCGAGAGCAATGATTCCAACGCCATCCATTCGACCGGCAAACGCACCTGTTGGAATATTACACACTGACTTGGCTGAACGTTTGCAGCATGTAACGAATTTGGTTTGGTTCTACTTGTTTAGTTTCTTTGTACTGTGGTCCATCTTTAGCCATCCCGAAATCCGCAATCTTCAAAATCTTCATATCATTGATCAGGATATTTCGTGCCGCAAGGTCTCGATGGATAATGTTCCGTGATGCCAGGTGTTGCATGCCGCTACAAATCTGGCAAGCGAAATTGACGAATTCCCTGGTTTCCCATTTCAGGTCTGCAGGTTTGTCTGCGCTTGTCATCGTTGTCCATTTGTCGCGTAAATACTTATCCAATGAACCATGGTGGCAATATTCGATGACCAATCGTAATTCACCTGCAAAACGCGATACTGGTCTGGAAACCTCGAAATCGCTGCACAAACTTCCGACGAGTCAAAATTTTATAGCATCAAACCAAAAGAAGGCAATCTCTCATGGTGCAAAATATCAATCAGTCAGTACAATGCTCGCTCAAAAAGTCTTCATCGAATACTTACCATCTGTAATTATTTTCATAATAGCAATTATATTGGGGTGCGCTGCAGCTTTTGCCAGCATTTTTATTTCATCCAGCAGTTGTTTTTCACTAGTTTTCGAGCGCAGAAGCAGTCGCTTAACCGCGACATCAATTGCTGACGAATGTGTGCCAACTTCTACGTCATTTTCTCCTTCTGAACGAACAGATCGGTCTAAGAGCAAGACTCCTTTAAACACCAGTCCGTAATATCCTTGCCCAAGTATTGTGGGTTCTGTAAGCAGGAAGATCGCCTTTGTCACCGAAATCCATCGAATATTAATGTTATATTTGTACCCTAGAGCTATTTACCGATTTTCAGCTCGCACTCGTGAATACGATACTGGTCATACTGCGACCCCAGCGTTTTGCGAATTACTTTGGTCATTAGCCGGTTATTGTATATGCGGTTTCTCTGCAAACAAATCATGGGCAGTTGCAACTGTTGTCCTAAACATGCTAATTACGTATAAGCATAATTATACGAGTACGTATTTGTTACGTCGTATCCACCAGACGGCGACAGCGGCACCGAGTACACTCGCTGCTAATAACGACGCAACAACAAACCATGGCCATGGTTCTGGAACAACTGTATAAAAAAAAACTGATGATTATGAGAGCCCTCGGTTAGAAGTTGTAAAACTTGCTATTTGACCTGTGATACACCGGCACCTCAGCGTCAGTGACAGGTATGAAAAATCCGAAAAGTTGTAATCATTTGTTGTCGCATTGACGAGATGGGTGCTGCCGTCAAAATCATCATGCTCCAACGTACACCATGGGCGTAACCTGATAGAGCCAATGGCAGGCATGGACTGCGTATGAATAAACCGACGAAACTGGTCATAGTCATCACTGTCATCCAGCAGGTTCATTGCGACACCGGTAAAGTTGGGTTGTGAGAACACCGTAGCGCATGCATGATATAACTGTGCTGTCAGTGTGAATCCACGGTTGGTGGTATTCCGTACTGACCGAAAGATCACTGTCTGCAGAACACATCAGCTTTATATTTGTCGTTGTTGGTTTATGAAAAAAATAGTTTATTTACTGACAGTATGCGAACTTTCTAACAGCAGCACTCGGGGAATTCGTCGGTTATTCTCCGTGTTGTTTAGGCAAATACGGTCGTGACGCAGCAAATGATCACCAGCATCATACACCAAGGCGCTTTCGATCACCGCCTAATCTGCACAGTAAACAGAGAGTAGTTTATAATCAGATTATTTTCACAGCAATAGCTACTGTACTTCGTCACCTTGCTCTTTGATTTCAAGATAATCGTCTTCGCAGCTTGTTTGCAGTCGACGATCGTTCCTGGACATTAACGGCGCGGTTCTTACCTAGAACCCCACAAAACGTTTCAGAATCCCAAAACCATGATCACATTTCTCAGCTATCAAACTATGGCTAATGAAACACAGCTAAGTTTGAAAGTAGGCGATCAACAATCTGGACACGGTTGATAATAACCTCAAGAATGCTTAGTAGGATCTGCGATCCCGGAAGTCCATAAATGTGCCATGTGCAATACAGTTCGGAAAAGTTGCTCTTTCGGTACTCTATCGTGATTGGTTCCTTTGTCAGTGTAATATTCCACCCACAGGAAACTGCAAAATGGTTTGCTTATATCTTTAATGCAGTTTCACCATCATCGTGTGAAACGGGACCATACCCAGTTACAGAACCTTTTGAATGATCTACACCACACCTGAATCGGACAAGGGCACGGCTGTAAAAAAACAACCATGTCATTATCTTAAGCGTCTTGCTAGTTAGTTACTGAATCCACAAACCTTGAATGGACATTTGAAAACCATCCCACACTTCTCGATCGCCATTGGTAATAAATGCAGCAAACTGCAAGGATAACTACATTTCCGTTCTATAGGATAACTACATTTCCGTTCTACATTTCCGTTAAGCAGGCAAAACACCAAAACTGTACCAGTTTGTTGACATTCGGGAACGGAATCCCATGCGGTCCGATCTCGCCTGTATACTGGATGCCAGAACCGATGCGGCTAAGGTTAGTTGAACTGCTTTCGATGGGTGGATCTGCAGCGCATTTGACTATTTAATTAACATTTGCGGTTCGGTTACCAGTTTTTGCATGCAGCCCATACCTGTTGACAAATACAGATAATCGACTGATGTGTTATACGAATAAACGAAAAATTTGCTGTACTCTTGCACAAAGAAAGTATCGGCGCCATCCAGCTGGAAGACAAAAGAATAAGTACCACGCTAGTAAATGAGCTGTATTACCTATATGGAGTACGTAACAGTGCCCTTTATAAAAAAAATTAAGGGCGACATCGACACTCATCGCCAAGGAAAGGTCAAAGGTGTACAGTGCAATAAAACGGCAAAATGTAAACTTTGTAAAGTATAATATACAGAAGTACTACAGAGTACAGGACACTACTGCGCTTGAGGTTAGCATGGCTGCCGCCATGGCATATCAGATATTTTTAAAAATATTTCTTGTGCCCTAATGTGATTCGTTTTTCTAACGTGACGTACCAGAAATTGGTATCCCTGGGGAGCAGACAAAATCCAGTTGCAGCGTAGTGTACGGTTAAACATGTATGGGAAGTTTGGAGTTGAAATAACGATTGGCACACCCGGCACGATTTTTTCGTCCGATCCACAAGTTCCTGAAAGTGAATAGCGCAACTTACTGCTATTTTGCGATAGTGTTTGTTTGTAGCTACATGGTAACATCTAAAAGAGAGACACTGTGAACAGTTGCATTCCGTACAATACCTGGTCTGAAGTCTTTGGACTTTAGGTTTCTACGAGCAGCATCCGTTAGACGGGCGAGATACAGCGAGAGGAATAAAGCAGTTCGTAAGATATTAATTTTGTTACCCATTTTAAATAATTAGAACATGTCCAGTATTTTGTTACTCTAATTACTGTAATTATTTTTAGCATCTAATAACAGCTTCATTCTCGTAATCGCAGCTGGCTGAACGCGGTTATTTTGCGCTGTTAAGAGTCATTGACCAATTTTCTTATCGGCTTGAGAGTAAGTAATTATTAGTTATCACTGGAAAACGCCTTAGATCCATCACGCAGAGAACTAGGGTAAGTAAAATGCTTATGGAATATGGTATAAAATCTGGGTTAATTATGCTTCTGTGAAAGGAGACACAATTTTTGCAACAAAGTGGACTGACTACGGCGCAAACTAGTTCCGGTGCACATTCACCGATAACCATGCCGGCGCCATGGATTCATTAGACTATCCATCAACCGGCTTCCAGCGGTCCTTGTAACTTGTAAGCAAGTACTTATCTGTACGTACCGGCGCTCTTCTCGTACAATAATTGGTTAGTTAGAAGAAATTTGAAAAGTATTAATTTCACGAGTAATTATTGAATCGCTTTTACTGTTAGTGAGGATGTTCAAATTGACAGTAATTATCTGAATCTGAATCTGTTGCAGTCTTGCAGATTACAAACGCATAAACTGTACTCATGCCAGTTACGCTCTTAAACACGATCTGCAGTACGGCATAAAATATGCCGTATTAGCGTCAGTTGATTATTAATAATTAAAATCAGGGCAGTGGTGTCCTTACGCCGCATCGCACCGGTCAATGACTTGTTGTGCTAGAAAAAAGCGGGGCTTTTTGACAACCAACACCGACCTCATCGTAAACTGTTATCGGTAGCTATGCTAATTATCAGTACTTTAGTATGCAACACAGAAAGCTCCAGTTTTGTACATGTTTTTATTGTCCAAAAACGCCATAAAAAGCGAAAAGCGATAAAGTAACCGATCACGGGGACAATTTCATATGCAGTCAGTAATTGCGTAGGAAAGAAAGCAGGCATTAAGTATTCCAAACAGTACCGTATTTCAAACAGTACCGTGACCTTTGGAAACACTCTTGGAGTACATATGTGTACTGCGCATTTATCTTTGCCGCGAAGCTGAAGCATGGCTAAGTTCACAATTTATGTTATGGCCGTGCTGTTTTTGTTGTCGGTGGTGCACTCGTACTTCCTACCGCAGTAAGTGGTATTCGCATGCATGATTACTGTGGGCATATAAATTATATCAAACAATGCAAAGTTAAATTATCGCCGATAAAACCCTCGACTTATCTTTAGCACCAAGGAAAAAGCAGAGTGCATAGCCCATGGCGAACAATGCCTTCACACTAGCCAGCGGCCGCCGGATGTGTGCTGCTCCGATTTTTGCCTACAACAATACGGTGAACCATTCGGCCGATGCGAAAAGTAAACTTCCTATAATTAAAACAACAGATTCTAGTGTTAAAACACTAGAATCTGTTGTTTTAGTGAATATTATTTACCGTTGTGTATGCCATTCCTAGTAAGCCTAACCCGTCCCGACCTGACGGATGTCTTGATGACGGCCAGGAATGCATCGAGGGGCACCACATTTATGTCTGTTGTTCACGCAAATGTGAACGTTACCCGGGGCAGACATTTGGCAAATGCGTGTACGAATTTTCATGGGGGTAGATTTTGTGAGACCAATTCACCGCTGATATTTCTTTACAACAGCCTGTGTACCTAGTTGCATGCTCCTTTAAGCCGCAATCAAAAGCACAGTAACGGTACAGTAATTGCCGTTTTTTATGTATAATTTGTGCGAATTGTGTTATAAATTAAAGACCGAGAAAAACCAAGTTTTAAGACTTGGCCCACTTTGTACCTATCTGTACAGTGCAAACCGTAGCCTAAATTAAAAATCGACGAATCTTGTGTGATAAAAGATAGTTACACGACTGAACGAATGGCTATCGATCCCGTTGCTGTTATAACCGCGTCAAGCGTAAGTCCGTTTCGCCGTAAAGCACCGGAGAAAAAAATCATGTTAATAAAGTCCAAAAAAGTGCAGTACGTATACAGAATCACAAGTCATGCCTTCAAAATAAAAAATGTGTTCCCAACAAGAGCGAAAGTTGTTTGGTTTGGCATGCTATTGCCACACTGCCGCGACATATCCATTTGTTTGAAATGGATCGGATTCAACCGTTCCTTTCTTTGAGCTTACCGCGGTTCTCGCAGCTCGTCACATTTTTTTACCATATTTGTTGCAGCATGATTGCATTTGAGGCGTTGTTATTGCAAATAAAATAAATATCTTCCAACCAATGATATTTCTAATATTTTCCAACTATCGATATTCGTATGCTGAGCCGGATGAACGTTAACGTTATCTAATCCACAAGTGTAGTATACCATCCTATTTTGGTACAGAGCATCTGTAGCCCCAAAATGCCGGGTCGAAACTTATAAGGCAGTCCGGCGCAGTGCTAGACGCCTTCACTGCGTTCAGCTTTTTGTTTTGCTTTCAAATCCAGTTCGTCAACGCATACTCGTACCATCCAATGTTTTCTTCTGTTAATCTTCTTCATTTTTTTCCAATGCCTGAACTGCTACAACGCAACCATGTCTTGCAGCAGTACTCGTAAAATATTCTACTTCTTTCTTATAATTCAGTCCACCGCTAATACGACAGCCGTCAAAAGGTAGCTGGAGAGATACAGTAGCTTACTTCGTCTACCATAACTATACGAACTTGTTAAAAACCTAACCATAAGTACTGTACATCATTATTCATTAGTAATTGTACACATCACGGATTTGAAGGATATGCACTCGTAGTAAAATGCAAATGTACAGTACAAGTATGCAAGTCCTGAATGTTGATTTTGGGTTACAATACGAGTAGTTACTGTTCTTACGATTAACACTGTACCTAACTCAAAATTAATGATAATCCATTTTTAGGTCGGGCGAAAAATGCATTTTAAATGACCGGTCATGTCGACAGAGTCAGGAGCCACCGTGTTGCAGCGGCTATTGTTTAATCAAAAGTGGCAACAAAATTGGCGTATGCAAAATGTAATATTAATCTGTGTACCACATCGGGATAATATAACGGACAGAGTAGATAATCGGAGTTACCCATTTTCTGTCCTTAATTAATTTGCTTGAATTAATGATTTGTTTGATCACGTCCATTAGGAGTTTAAACAACAAACACAAATAAAATAGAAACTATAGTAGCGCTTCTAAAATATAGCAAGTGAAGTGATATAAATACATTTTCTGTATATTACCTCGAATGGTTATCGATTAATGTGCGCTTTTTTGTGAACAGGAACGTTCCGGCGTTTAATTGTCCTCTAAACCAGCCATGTGTTTTCGAGGAAATGGAACATTCAGGCAGCCAGTCTCGTAAGTCCCGTGCATTTTTGGGTCTGCAAACTATTCAGTCCTCAAAACATATACCAGTCGGTGCATGTACATACAGTCTGTACAGTGTTTACATTAATTAGCAGTCGTTCATAAACCGCTAGTGGTAAAAACGTTGAAAATGTTTTTGTTTTTCCGAAAACCTCTTACAGTTCATAAGCCGAAATATGCGCAAAACGTCATGAGTACCTGCAGTTCGTTCTTGTGCTTTTCTCAGGTAACCTTTAATTTAGATGCTGCTAAACACAATGCTACGATCGTATTACATACTATCTGTACTTTGTTCTGCATTTTTACTGAAAAACATTCTGAGCGTCTTTTAATGCTAAAAGTTTTGTCTATTATACACTGTGACTGCGCCATCTGCATTATGTACTAATCGGGTGGAGTAAATGTTTTCACTGGATTTAAAACATCATCGTTTACGTACAGATGTGCTGCGATCCATAAAGCTTAATATGAACCAGGTGTGATGCCGCGTAAGAAGCGGAAATTAATCATCAATTTATGCGATGTTTCTTGAAATGTAAAACAGTTAGCCAAAAAGTATCTGTGGGCAAAAAAGTATCTGTGGGCTATCTTTACCTTGGTTATGACCTTTTTGCCCGCAATCAGTACAATACACGAATAGTACTTACTAATTGGCTTATTTCAATTTTACAGTTAGCGTGTCACCAGTTATTGCCATCGTATTCATTGCGGTGCTATGGAGGTGGGCCATGTGAAAGATGGTACGGATTTAAGAATATTTTCAGAATCTATTTCTGTACGTGCAGCGTGTTCCGGTGCAACTTCATGCAGGAGCCGTTTGAAATTTGTATTTAAACGTCAATATTTCCTTCAAACAGTGTTGTGCACTGTGGCGATGTGGTTGTAAAGTGGGGCCAGGGTCAAAAAGAGGGAGGGAAAATTAAAGGGAGGGTTTTTTTGCGGTCGAAAAGAGGGAGGCAAAACTAAAGGAAGGGATTTTGTGTGGTCAGAAAAGGAAGGGAATTTGAGCGATCCTAAAATTTGAAGTTGCTCAGAGCGAGCAAAACAGAATTTCCATGCACTACCTCCGGAAGCGGTTGTAAGATCTAGATATACTGGTAATCTTCCACTTTACACACAAAATCATGTCACATTTTCTCAGCATGCTTGAGATTGGATGCTATATGTTACCGGTGAAATGTTTTTTTATGTTTAAACTACATTTAATTCATTTTGTAATCAAGTACGCGAGCAAAGCGAGGCTTTTATTTTATCAAGAGGATGGGCGAAGCGAACCCACGTTTCTTCTTGGTGACATTTGAGTTTCTGTAAAGGAGAGTGCCCATAACTTTAGGGTCGCCGACGATTTTCTTTGTGATTCCTATGCGACACAACATGGTGAGTCGAACTGAAATACATGGTGACCTTAAACATGGATCCCCGAGATCGCCGCCAGAACTTCCGCTACCATGGTAACATGCCTAAATATTTCTAAATATTTCCAGATATTTCCAAATATTTCCAAATATTATTCTAGGAAAGTGCACCGCTGTAGACTAGCACTAGAAGACCGAAGCAAAGCTAGATATTTAACTAATCCAAGAACGTTGCAGTCAAGTTTATTGCATAAGTATAAGTTTTAATGTGCACACTGCAGAGTTAAGAGTTGCCAAAATGTAATGAATCTGGATGTACCTATGCGGAAACACACAGCACGGCTAGATGTGTTTTAGGATATGCGTTTTAGCTGCTCTCATTCACGTTTTCTTTCCTGGGTCGTCTTCTGTTTTACTGACTGCAATAGAAAAAAATTGAAATACTTGTTCAATGGCCAAACCGGTCCAAATCTTAACGCGTAAAAATCCGGCGTAAATTTGGAATCTGATCGTCAAACTAAGACAATATATCGAGAATTAGGGTGCAAATTACGAAATCAATTTTACGTATAAAACATGGAAATTACATATATGACTTATCTGTAGATGCAGAATTTATTCGAAAAAAAATATAAAAACCAGATTCTGATTTAAAAATTAATTGAATGCTTAACTATCAAAGTGAGATTTCTTTTTAGACCTTTTTAGAAAGTACAATCTTTCATTTTAAAAAATTTAAAGGACACAAATTGCTTCTAATATCTAGAGGAATTTCAGTATTTAAGCATGTAACTACAACGAATGTTTAGGAATTTTAGTTTGCAGTGACTTTTTCGCTTTTTATATATATACAAAGCTATTTCGCCGTTTTTTTTATCCAACATCTCCTCCTACAGCGTTCGACGGTAATTTTCGCGCCATAGCTTAATAAACGCCTAAAATCATGTAGTTTGTCTCAACGCCTTTCGTTTTTCGATCTTTTCGTTATCCGAATTACGAAAGAGGAACAAAACGAATTTCTCTGATTGGCTGGTCATTAGAAATTAACATTAGGATTGGCGGAGATGCGGAAGTTATCGAACCAAAACCGCTGACTAATAACACATAAGTAGTACAATACTTTATGTGCCATATGTACCAGTATGCGGCATAATACCGCGCGGCTGAATTGTAAAATATTTCGGAAATGTAAAAAATGCGGAAAGGCGTAGTTTAACGGGGAACCTCTGATACAACTGCAAAGCGAAATTTTGTACAATGCTTAAAACAATCATGTAGTTTGTCTCAAAGGGTTCGTTTTTCAGTTTTTTTCTTCTCCGCGTTACGATACGGGTTCGAAACGAATTTTTGATTTCATTGGCGAAAAGAAGAAAAGGATAACTGTACCTTAACGGGCAAGGTACATACAAAAACTAACATAAGTATTATTAAAAAGAAAGGAACTTGATGAGCACAATAAACATCCCTGTAGTCCGCAAATTCCCGACAGAGCCAGAAATCTTTAAAATCTATGTGAGCACACTTAAATTTTGGAAAGAGGGGGGTAGTGACTATTTTGTTATTTTCGTACTGGATTGCATTGTGAAAGTTTTGAATGTCCAGCGACTAATCTACTGTTGATTTTATTGTGGCGTGCGTGTGTCAGTTAGGCGAATTTGTAAATGATAGTGAACATTTTTTTGGGACAATCGAGAGTCGGAGACATCGCGCGAAGCGCGAAGCTGACGATGCTGTTTGCCCAGAAAACGTTAGAAATTCAATCGAAATAGGTTATTTACCAGAAACATATTTTGGTTTGTTAAATTTAATGAAAATTTGTAGTTTGTGAGGTCTCAGGATTTATCTTGTCTTTCTTGGTCTGGTTAGAATGCTTATGACTCCAACGCTATCTGTTTCTGATTTCAGTAATAACGAAATCTGGAAAGGGAGAGTGTACCGGTAGGTAACTGTATCCATCAGAGCGACAGAATACCCACGTACTAAAGCATGTATACTAAGTGCAGCAGTCAACTTATACTCAGTGATATATCGTTAGAGTACTCTGAAGATGCCCTTACGGCCGTACTGTTAAAAAACATGATCTGGAAAAGGAATAAGAACAAACGCAGCTTCAACAGAAATGTTTCGCAATAATATTATTGCGACGGAGATGAAATTACGCGACCGGGATAAAATGGATTATTAATAATCCATTTTATCCCGGTCGCGTAAGACTTTCTTTTAAATTTGTATGGAAACCCGCTGCCAGAAAAGCCGGTTAGAATATGTATTCCTAAACGAAAAGGTCGTTCTCGAGAATTACGAAAAGGTCATTCTCGGAAAAAACATAGTTCATGGTAGTTAAAATTATAGACATCACCAGGCCGCCTAACTCCATGTACGTACTCGCATAGCCTACTCCAAGCGGAGACTCGACAATAAGCCGTTATTTTGCGTACAAGAAACGAACGTGCGAGAAACGTGTATTTTGTGTAGAGCACTAGAATTCATTCTGTTAATTCATGGCAAACTCATTTATATAATATTTAGATGATAGTAAACTACATAGTGTACAAGCTTGTCCGGTAATTTCTGTCGTAGAGGTACAGATAGCACATATTTACCGCTGGAGTTTGCGCTATAGCGATTGCCACTACACTACGTTTGGCGTAACACGCAAATTTGTGTATCTCGCTGTTTTGAACCGGCAGAAATTACCGGACACGCTTGTACAAGCGCATTAAAGAAGGTGAACACGTGAGCGCGCTTTCGTATTTTCGAAAGCAGCATAGACTTGCTTAAGGAAATTCAAGCAGATTTGCTGTTGTAATGGTTCATCGTGCCAATAAGTAATAACTGTGAGGATCGGCCACAATCCTGTGCATAAAACTAGATCTTCGTGAGCAGGAAACAGCATTGTAACTGCGGAAGTAACGGAACAACTGCACAGATGCGCATATACGGATGTAGCGCAACTTCTGTCAAAAATGCGGTTGGACTAAATACGTTCACCAGCAAATGTGCACATTGTGGGAGAAGGCAATACGAATGTATACCGATTGGCGTTTAAGCTATTCTTCACCGCGCATTTTCTATTTGCGTAGTTTAGTTTGTAATAAAATGAAATGATTAGAACCTGCTAAATTACAGAGAAGAGGGAAGTATTGGTAATTTTTAAGCACAAGTTCTAATCTAGATGAGCACATGGCCCTCTATGTGAGCACATTTTGTGCTATGTGAGCACAAGTTTTCAGGCCCTGATTCCCGACTGGAAGATATAATTTCCGATAGTGTTCTTGACGGTGAGACAGTGGGTAAGGGACTTTCGCCGGTCAGATAGAAGTACAGGGATTTTTGCCGGTCAGATAAAAGTACAGGAATTTTCGCCGGCCAGATAGAAGTACAGGGATTGTCGCCGGTCTGATGGAAGCACAGAATTTTTTGCCAGTCAGATAGTAGTGATTTTCGCCGGCCAGATAGAACTACAGGGATTTTCGCCGGTAAGATAGACATTTTCGCAGGCCAGATAGAAGTACAGGAATTTTTGCCGGTCTGATGGAAGTACAGGAATTTTCGCCAGTCAGATAGAACTACAGGGATTTTACAGAGATTTTCTGCGGTCAGATAGAGTACAGGGATTTTCGCCGGCCAGATAGAAGTACAGGGATTTTCGCCGGTAAGATAGAGATTTTCGCCGGCCAGATAGTACTATAGGGATTTTCGCAGGCCAGATAAAAGTACAGGGATTTTCGCCGGTCAGATAGAGTACAGAAATTTTTTGCTAATAGATAGAAATTTTTTGCTAATATGTTATTTGGCTCAACCTTCTTTGTAGACGAAGGTTTTAGCGATGGCACTTCCATAAACAGAAGCATATGTATACACGTTCCGTTATAGTTAACGGAACGTGTATAATCCAAAATAAACCGCTTTTCCGATCAGTTAAATTCCGTTTCCTAAATCTTTATAAAACTACCACATTTCTTTCATCATTACTGAAAATTCCCAACCGAGGCTGGAGGCCGAGGTTGAGCTTGTATTTATAATCATCGCACAGTTATGGTAATAAAGAAAGGAACACGCTATATTAATCACAACAGCAAAATTTCATTTTTAGTTTTAGGTAAGAATGATCCATTAACGATTTTTGTATTAAGTAAAATGTTGCGAGAAGTAAATCAAAGTTCATTTAGCAATTAGAATTATTTTATACACCAAGATTTGGAAGGGAAAATAATGGAAACTTGGGATATTTGCTAATAATATTTATTTTAATGCGCATGTATTGCATTTCACTTTAATTTCGGCATTGTATACCGGGAGACAAAATTTGATGGAAATCCTTTTTTTTCAAAATTGGGCTTCTGATGTCGTGCTGATGGAACCTGACAAAATTTATAAAAAAAATCCAAGCCATTAAAAACCCATGTGAGACTGGTTTTGCGCGAAAGTTTTGAAAAATAACTCAATAACCCAAAAATATCCGTTAATACCAAATAACTTTCTATTGAGAGTTCGGACAGTTAGAGTAGGCTATTTAAAGATTTAGGTATGTTATGAGTACTTCCGTTCGACTTAGCACGTGAAACTGCATAACGTGCATATATACAGTGGAAGCCCTGGCGGCGACCTTGGGGACCCAGGTTCGAGGTCACCGGGTATTTTTGTTCGACTCACCATGCTGAGTCGTATAGGAATCACAAAGAAAATAGTCGGCGACCCAAAAGTCACTCCGCGACCCGAAGGTTATGGGCACTCTCCGTTACAGATCAAATGCCATCAATAAGAAACGTGAGTTCGCCTCGCCCGTCCTCTTGATAAAAGAAAAGCTTGCTTTGCTCGCGGGCTTGATTACAAAACGAACTAAATGTAGTTTGAACTTTGAACATAAAAACGTTCCAACGATTCCATATAGCACCCAATCTCAAGCATGCTGAGAAAATATGACATGATTTGGTGTGAAGTGGGAAATCACCATTGTTCTTTGTATCTAGATCTTACAACAGCTTCCGGAGGTAGTGCTTGGAAATTCTGTTTTGCTCGCTCTAAACAGCTTCAAATTTTAGGATCGCTCAAATTCCCTTCCTTTTCTGACCACTCAAAATCCCTTCCTTTATTTTTCCCTCCCTCTTTTTGACCCTGGCCGTAAAGTGGAGCGATCGTGTCTGTTGCTCTCGATGTTTTTCCTAACGTTTTATAATCATGACTTCATCAGAACGAGATCAGATTTGCCCGCTTCTCAACCGGCGCAAAACGTTGAGCCTTATGTTATCCAAACCATACGATGGTGGTTACTAAGCCCCGAGAAAAACGGTGGACCATACGATAGTAACGTGTTCGTACGGAAACTTTTCTCTATAAGCGGTTTTGTACTAGAATGCCGCACTTCCGTTGTTCTGTTGTAACTCGCCGAATCCATCCAAGCATTTACTGTACAAAGGTTTCTTTGACAGAATAGAATATATATACTATACAAAAAGACAGTAGTGTAGAAAAAATAAAGGCATCAAAAACCTGCACTATGTTAGGCGATTTCCCACTTGAAATAACCAGTTGCTCACAGATGATTGATCTGCATTCTGCACTGTAATGTTGCAAAATGTACTCGTAGTACACGACAAAGGTGAGATATGAACACATCACATATGAGTAGCAAGAATCTACTTCATTTTGCTGTCACTGCCGCACTGGCGTTTAGCAATCTGCGTATTACTATCCACTATCTGTATCTGCATATTATTATGTGCATATTACTCTGCATATTCCCTTGCCGACGCTATGTAAGTATTTGTTTGGTGATTTTCCTGTAACCGGAAATAAAGCAGTACTTATGGATAAGTTATTGGTAACGTGCATATTAAACCGGCGCGATATCTCACAGGTCGCGAGCCCCTTTTTAGCTCTGTCACACTCTTTGAGCGTTTGAAGTATAAGTTGACAATATAAACACCAAACCGGTGTATGGAAGTCACTAGAAGATAATGCTTACTATTGTACGATGTCACAATGCGTTTACAATCCCAAGGAAACCCTCGGGCACTATGAATGAGCGGTCGGGCTATTGTCGCCAAGCATTTTCCGAACCTTCGGTATGTGCGAACAATAATTTTTTCCAGTCCCTTTTACTTTTCCGTTATCGGTCTTTTTATGATTTATTTAATAGCTGGATTTTTGTCTCGGGGCATGCACTGTCACTTGATCGAAATGGTGAGTTCGATCCACGTGCAGTCTAGGGTAGAAATTGAACAATATAATAAAAGAACGAGAAACTTTTCAAAGTTTCATTAAGTTATCTGTGTGCGTGAGCGCTAGCCGTGAGTCATCTCGGTCATGCCAGGTGCACGTTGTCCGATCTTCCAGAGACAAATTCGAGGATTATAAAATTTAGTACCGTAGCCAGCAACAATATCAGTCATCGATCGCGACTCATATTACAATTACAGTACAATTACGTATTCGCATCACGACTGTGTGTAAGTTGACCTGTAGATATACAGATTTGTTAACATTGGTTGTCGTCCATTCTAGGAAGCGTAACCATAGGTCTACATCATGCTGCTGTGGATATTATCTTCCAGTAAGTTTCCGATTAAGTGATACATAATAATACTGTTAAACGAAATGGTCGCGCTAACGATCGGAGATAGATTAATTGTGCTGCAATTGAATCAGCCGTTTTTGCAGTTCTTTTACTGATTCCTCCTGGCTTTACGAAAGAGCTCTCGGACACCGCAAAACCCAACAAAACATGTAAGCCAGTTCCCAATACAATTCGGCCATCGTATAACAAACCAGAGATTTCCCAGGTACCTCGATCAGTGCGCTTATTTTACTGCGTTCACCTTGACCGGCAGCTGCAATCAGTAAGGTCACTATTGAATATGTGCCTCATTGACAGTTCATTATCGGACACACCTGGTATCCGTACCTGCTGTATGACAGCAAAAACGACACCAACCCCTTTTTCCTCAATGCAGAAATCCACTACGAAAGCCTTGGCCGCGGCAATGAGCCGACGCGGAATTCGCCGGCGGACATTGTCATTCAGGAGGAAACGTACTTTGATGTCAACGGGACATGCAGTGACCTTTTGGAGATTTCCTGGTTGACAAACGACGGACGCCAGATAGGACCCGTGTTTGATGTCACATCAAATAACACCCTTAGCGTCAACTGTATGTACTGTATATTATTTCTCCAAATCTGAATTATTTTTTATTGCCATTTTATCCCGGCTGTATATATGAAATTTTTACACAGCTACGGATGTAAATACGAGTATTACAAATTGCGAAATGCACAACTATGCAATTACATTATTTTGAAAGCAATAAATAATAACGTTTCTACATTAACTGCAAATTGCAATCATGCCTGAATTTGCAGCTTTCGATGATTCGGTGTTGTGGAAAACCGACCTGAAGACCTTTATCATGTTCCACAACTGTGACACTCGGAATTCAGTAACCGGAAACTGCGACAGAGTATTCATCTATGTCCATACGACATCAAAACCCCACATGCTGACCGACGCTACCAAGCAGACAGTGACCACCGCCGTTGAAAAAGTGCTGCAACCATACTGTCTCGGTCTAACCCATTTTTCGGTGTATAAATGGGATGACAACCTGGAAGTGTGTCCGCCAAGTGACCCCGAGAACCATCCGGATGCTTTTAAGATCTTTGTCGACAATTATAAATTACTGGCCGAGAAACCGGCTTAAATTCTGGGGCCTAATGCAAAAGGTCGTGTTGAATTTTCGAGGGTAAACGATCCTAAGTTCTTGACACTTGTGTAATCTGTACTGCCTTCCGAGAGTTCAGTATAAAAGTTATACTAGCGATTCTGATAACTATTGACTGATGGTGCATGATGTCAAAATTGCAAAATGAGCAATAAAAATTAATGTTCTACACTGTTCTAAACCCAAATATTCCTAGAACGGTGATTAACATTCAGTTACGCCGACGCGTAAATTCGTAACCGGTGCTTAACGATTCACTCCGTTCATTTCCGCTGCTGTAAAGCGCTTCCCGATAAAGCGGCGGAAGTTTTCCTGCCTACATACTCGTGACTATTGGGTCACTTTTTTTGCAACCGGAAATACGTGGTACTCGTATAAACCATATCGTTTCTTAAACTGAATACATATATGGACCATAAAACCGGCCCTATGACATGGCGATGGTTCAAATTTTTGCCTTACTGGGTAAGGAGTAATATCGTCTGTCTGACTGATAATATTCTAAATAGATAACGCTGGGTTGCAAGTAGCTGGAATGTGGGCATGAAACTATAATGCTCGTACTATCCTGAGAAAACCCTCCGGCACTGCCGCACTATGAATGAGCGGCCTGGCTATTGTCACCAGATTTGCGAGCTAAATGCAATGAACAATCAGTTCCAGTCCCTTTTGCTTTTTTGTTATCAGTCTTTGTATACCTACAGATATATGCTTTATAGAATGGTAGAATTGTGGTTAAGCAACTTGTTTCGTTACTTGAGTTGCTTAACCGAAATGGCGAGCTCTCCATATGCATGGGCTTGTATGAAAAAGGACAATATAATAAAAGAACAGAAAAATGTTTCACAGTTTTTATGTAGTTTTCTCTATACGTGAGCGATGTGTCACTTGAAACGTGCTTTGACATGCACGTGCCAAGAATGCATGGACAATATTCTTCGAGGGACAATACTGAGGGTTTATAAATACCGTTGCCAACATGGCGAGGTAACGGTGTACATGCGTGGTTGTGTGTGCTTCGCTTGATCACGGTTGGCTGACATTCATTTTGCGAAAATGCCGGTTTACAGCACGCTGGAGTGGATGCTACAGTTATGTTGCCGTGAGTTTTCCATAAAGCACAATTATATTATTTTTATACAGCAATATGTTTAATATTGCTATTATATTGTGAAGTGAGCGACAAGATGAAGTAATACTGCCTTTTTCCCTTGCAGTTGTGCTACTGATTCCCTGCAGTTTTACCAAGGATAGTCCGGCAAACGCAACCTTTAACTCAACATGCAAGCCAGTTCCCAATTTAATTCGGCCGCCGTACAGCAAAGTGAACATTTCCGAGGTACTTTAATTTTGCTGAATGTGATCGGTTTGCTTACATCGTGTGTGACGATGTACATGTATGCAATGATTGCAATAATTTATATGGTGATTGTTTCATTTCTGCCTCTCAGTTAATCGCCGGACGGACCTGGTATCCGTATATGCTGTACGACAGCAAAAACGCCTCCAATCCCGTGTACCTAAACCCGGAAATCCACTTCACCCATGTTGGCCACGGGAACGAGCCGACGCGGATGTCACCGGCGGAAGTTATAATCGAACAGGAAACATATTTCGATGTCAATCGGACATGCAGTGACCTTTTGGAAATCTCCTGGTTTACCACCGACGGACGGCAAATAGGTTCCGCGTTTGACGTCACAGTGAATAACACTCTCACCGTTAACTGTATGTACGCGCGTTTTCGGAATCTGAACAATTTTCAAATTTATAATGTTCGGTTTATTTGATTTTTGTACTGCAGTTTACTGTAATTATGTGATTTCATATTGCAATAATTATGTCTACGCAAAAAGCATCAAGGTAATTTTTTAATTTCGTTTCTATTTAAGTTTTCGAATTAGTTTACAGCAGCACAAAAATGAACTGCTGATACTGAGCAATGACGACAATTCTTTATAATATTTCATTTATTAATTTGCAGCTTTCGATGATTCGATATTGTGGAAAACCGACTTGAAGACCTTTATCATGTTCCACAACTGCGATACGCGCAATTCGACAACCGGCAATTGCGAAAGATTATACATTTATCTCCACACCATATTCAAACCCAATGTGCTGACCGCCGCCCAGAAGCAGACGATTGTCACCGCCGTCAACAGCCTCCTGAAGCCGCACTGTTTGAGCGTAACCGATTTCCAGGTGTACCGCTGGGACGACACCCTGCCGGTGTGCCCGCACAGTGATCGGGAGAAGCAGCCGGATGCCTTCAAGACACTGGTCGAGGCCTATACTTTACTCGTCGAAAAGCCGGGTTCAACCAATTCGACGGCGGCGAACTAAGTCCTTTAATAAATTTTCTGAGAGTTGCTAATGAATATGTGCCATCCGCCTCAGACTAACCAAAATGTTTACGAAATTTATGATTCATTATCGTCATCCCTGGATTTCATGCACAGCATTTCGACCAGCAAAGATTGACCTTTTGCGCAAACTACCTTGTGATTAACGTCGTTCTCTAAAACTATAAAAGTATATTACACTTTATGCAAAGTAATATACATACTGGTGGCCGAATAACTTCAAGTACAACAGCTGCAAGTGTAGGTGGTTAATTTACTTTGTATATACAGTCTGTATGTACTCGTACTTTGATAATGTTATATAGTATTCGCCGTATCATCCAATAACTAAACCTCGTCAATTGCAGAAGTGGCTTAGCGTAGTGAATGGGCTGTCATTGGAAACTGCTCTGATCTTCGATGATAGTCAACGCCCAGCGTAGTCAACGCGAAAGATCGCATTCTCATTAAAGTGCACCAGTGTAGTGAGTGTACAACAAGACTTTTTTGAAATAAATTCAGTAATAATTGTTTGTAAAAAATTGTAGTGCTTGTTGTAGGTACATCATTTAAGAAAGTGTTAGTTTTGGAATTGTATCGCAACAGTATATCCGCCACCCTCCTGATAAGAATTCTGAATAATTCAACAGCGCTGACTGGTAATGAACACCGATAAAACAAAACGTCGAAGTAAGATGAGCATCAATCATAAATTAACTTGTTAACATTGTCCCATAACTCCATTCATTAGAAATAAAAAAATTAACAGAACAAAAACGTAATTTAAATAAAAGTTTTATTTTCATCAAAAATTACGAATAAAAATCAGAAAAAAACAGTTGTTAATTAAACGGAAATGCTGCCTTTGCGGAAATCGCTCTTGCCGATGAGCACGTTAATCAGGACGCTCTGTCCAGCGCGGCTAGTCTTCACCGCTTCCTGAAAAACATCCGCCATCCGGCCGGCGTCCTGCCGACCGATTTTGATGCCTTTTGCACCGAAAGCTTCCACGGTTTTCTCGTAATCGGAGAACTGCAGTGGGAAAACAAACAATATCACTATTTCATTGACCAGTTAATACCGAACAGCACTGTTTAACTTACATCCAGCATGCAGCTAACCGCGCTGCCCAGCAAATCCACTTGGTCGCGCGCGATCTGCGACCAGCAGGCATCGTTCCCGATCACTCCGATCACCGGCGTCTGCAACACCGAGTTTTCAACCATAATTTATCAAGGATGACATGGAATAATTAAGGCGGTATACTGCACCATTGGGTACCAAATTTGAAAAGAAAAACTTGTTCCGTAAATTATTAATTTGATAGTATTTATCTCCTAGTAAAAAAACGCTAACAGCCTAACACCTAGTGCTAACACCAAATTTTCATAATAAAACTGCAGCGGCAGTAGCAGAACCAAAATACGCTTTTTCTATCTTCCTACGAGTACATAACGAAAATACCAGTGCATTCATAGATAACGAAAATACCAATGCAAAGAAATGCAAAACAAAACAAAACATGGGAAAAATTGTGCTGCATGTAATTTCGTAGGTTTACAAGTACAATCTGTCTAGCAGTTGTGCACCATTTAAACTACGGCCAAACTGCGCCCGACTTACGAGCCAACATTCTACAATAACCTGCACAAAGCAGGCATACAGGGTGTGCAAATATACGCATTTGTGCGTTATTACTGCTTTTCACCAACAAACCATTTGCTCATACTGCGTCTTTGCTAACCTTATGGCGTTGGAATGTGTCGTATTCCATCAGACTGTACCCCGCCGATCCATCGCCCCAAATCAGCCAGATATCACACTCAGGGCGGACCAGTTTCGCGCCCAACGCGAATCCACCACCCACACCCAGCGTCCCGAATGGTCCGGGATCCAGCCACATCAACGGGCCGCGAGGTCTGGTACAAAAAAACATAAAATAATAAATATCAAATTCTTTGCCGTGCATGGTATTAATAGACATTTTTTCCACCTCATGACATAAGCAGCAGTAGCCACAAAATCCCCTCCGTCCGCCACTAAAATTGTGTTTTCCGGCAGTGTTTCTTCCATAACGTGCAACACTTTGATCGGGTTCAGGTGCTGATCGGTTGTCTCCTCAGCGCGTAATCTAAACAAAAATCCTGAATAATTCAAACAAAACGATTCTGTTTAAAATTTCAAAAAGAAAATATTCAAAACATAAAATAACTATAAAAAATAAACGTTTTTATTATTAGAACGATTATTTTTGTATAAAAGAAATATACAAAAGTAGTAATCGTTCGTTTTTTGTGTTTCAAAAAAACATGTTACCATGAAAGTTTTGGGAGTCTCAATTTTCGCTTTGCTGTTCTGAACTTTTCAGAATTAATGCGACGTGTGACAGACCACCGAGGAAAAGCCAACATTCTACAACATTCTGTACAAAACTGACGCACTGTAATCATGGGAGCTGAAAGTCTTACTTAAACGAATATAAAAATTAATTTATTACCAATATACAGGCTATATACAGCAACTGCTTGTCTACAACAAAAAATAAGTTATGAATTTTGTGACAAACAGGAAAATATCAAAACCAAAACAAGATACGATCAAAAACTTGACTTAAATACCAACGAAAAATACAAATAAAGCACACCGTAAGGGCAACAACTACATTGAACGTTGCGGCAAAGTTCACGAAAGAACCAGAATCCAATTAAAAAAACTATCAAAAACAAAAACAAATTTTTATTACAAATTTACAAACGAAAACTGCGCCGAAAATCCCTAAGTCGTCACCTGTTTTTATCCTCAGCTGCCTTGTTGCGATCCTGAATAGCCTTCACCCACTCTTCCTCCACTTTATATCCAGTCTGCGTCAATTTCTTTTCCAACCGCAACAGGAAATCTCCGGGATCGCCTTCCGTGACCAGCGTCGGCTGCCAAAACAATCCTGAATTCTGCAAACAAAAATTCATCAAAATAACCAAGAAACAAAAGCCAGGATCACCCAGTCTTACCAATCCCGCCAATTGCTTATCCCGATTGACGGAAATGATCTTCTTCCCGCGCCGGAAATCACGTCCGTAATTCAGCCGGAAATCCGCCACGGCGCCGCACAAAACGATCAAATCCGCCTCCCGAATGGCATCCTTCCGCGCCTGGCGAATCTGGAAGTCAGCTTTCGTGCCTAGCAGCCCGCGCGCCATCCCCGACAAGCTGGAGGGAATGCGCAGGCGTTCCAAGGCGCCGCGCACTTCCGACACGGGATTGGGCGCCAGTGTGCACTGACTGCCCACCAGAAACATGGGTTTCTTGGCCTGCGAGATCAGCTGGGTGACGGTGGATAAATGGGCGTCGGAGACGGTGGGACGGGTGACCGGCAGGGGACTGGTGTCCTGCGGGGAGGCCGGTTCGGCGAAAATACCTTGGAGATAGGTGCTTGATATCCTGCCAACGAAAACCATTTAAAACAAATTTTACAAAACGAAACAGGAAAAACAAAACCATTTTTCCTTTTTCCAGGGATGATGTCTGTGAAGAAGTAATTTCATGTTTTGCAATCGTTAACCGTAAAGGCTTGAATGCATCCCCATTAAAGTAAGTATCGTCAGCAATCGTACGCCAATATTCTACCATATCTCCACGTGCAGGAAGCAGTGAGACTCACCGATGAAGTTAGGATCAGAATTAATAAAATAATTCAAACATAACAGTCTTTTACGACTTTTGTTAGTGTACTTAATCTAAAAATAAATTGCAACAAAAATGCGTTACGGCAAACAGAAAAAAACTGAAACAGAAAAGTGTTATTAAATGTCACTTTACCACTATAAATCACATATCACATTTTTAGCTTGTACATCTGCGAAAAAATAGCGCAAAAGAAAATAGCGTGCAGACACAAGTCAAACCTACAGTTGTTCAACTGGAAAACAACCTTTATAGAAGAAACATGGAAAAAAATATTACTAACTCAGCTACTGCTTGCCATTTACTAATTTTTTGAGCAGCCGATATCCTACAATAATCTGCACACAGTCAACGCAGTGCAGATATCCCGAAATTAAAATCGAAATTACGGTATGTGAACGAATAAAAACTTTCTGCAGCCTCTCCTTGTCTAAAATGGACAATCGGTTCTGGCAAACAAAAAATAAAAGAAAAATTCATTTTTAAAATTCGATGTATTTTATTAACTATAAAAATCAGAAGGAAGACAAAAGGTGATTTTAAGTGGACAAACACGTGCCCAACCTACAGCTGTTCCATTTTAGCCGGGAATCCTTTGGCTTTCTTGGCGGCGTCTGGTTTAACAAACGTATCCGACACCACGTTGTAGGGATACAAGATATCCAAGGGGAACTCGACGAACACCGGGCCAGGTGTGCCGCTTTGTGCGATCTGCATGGCTGAGCGGAGTGTCGGCACAATATCCTGCATCCTAAAAACCGGCATTCACTTAATCAGCGACTTCAATTTTTCAACAAAAATATATTGGTAGATGTCCTACCGAGAAACCGAATACGTGGCTTTGCAGATTGTTTGGAAAACCGACACCTGATCGATGTCCTGGAGAGCACCTCGGCCCTATTAAACACAAAATGAATAATTAAATTGTCGATTATTTTCCACCAAGATAAACTAGAACTGGCGCTGCGCTCGGCTTAAAATATTCTCACGTAGTCCTAATTCTTGAAAGTAAAATCTCGGTGTATAATACCGCCACCGGTAAAAAGAAACGCGTGCACAATCCATTCAGCCATAAAATTAAACATATGGTTTTATCTACAGTTTTAGAAGAGTGTCATTATGAAAATGTGGGAAAAAACAGGAAATTAATGCAAAATATTTTCATAAAACGCGAGCACACGGTTTGTTCTCAGTGTCCATCGCGCAAGGACAGACTCTGCACAGCTCAAAACAACACTGAAGTAGCTTTCTAAATCAAATTAACGGGTGTAACAGTGATTTTCCGGATAAATTAAAATCAAATTTTAACAGCAAACTTACAAATAAATTTTAAATAATTTAATCTACTTTACAGATCAACTTGTACGAAGTACGAACCTTCAGGATGGTGGCGGCAGCGCCGCCGATGAGCAGCAACGGGCTCTGCGCCATCTGGGCGTTCTTCATGGCCGTGACCGTGTTGGTGACGCCGGGTCCGGCGGTGACGGCCGCCACTCCGATCTTCCCCGACAGACGCGAGACGGCATCGGCTGCGAATACAGCATTCACCTGCTCAGACAAAAAAGCACACCGGATAAATTAGTACATCACAGCCAGTTTATCTATGCCCGTCTGTCTGCAAATGCCACACCGCAATTCGGCAAATTTAATCTGATAATCTAAAGTCAACCCGTAAAACAAGGCACAAAAAATTCTCCACAGCGACCGGATAAAAGGAGCTTCTTTTTAAAAGTATGGAAAGTATTTTTTCTAAAAAAAACGAGTAAAATTTCGATAACAACATTTAGCATAATATATCATGTAAAGAAGTCTCAAGTGTGCTTATACGACATTATACAATCCACTGCACTACCATATGTCGCGATCTTCTTTCATTTCGCCTACGAAACCGTTGTTATTCATTCGATCGCCTACCGAGAATACGAACTCGGATCAGTCAATTTGACGAGTTTGTGAAGTCTACCAACATGAGCTTTATAGATATTTACCAGTCACCATCTTCAAAAAAACCCAATAGAAGTAAAACAGAAAATTATGAAAGGCCCACTGCGGATAAAAAATGCATTCCTTATCACGGTATACGAGCACATGTTTTTCCATAAAACTTTTCCATAATACACTTCCATAATACATTTTCCATCATACTTTTCCATACACAAACATAAATGTTCAATTACAGCGCGTACCTCATGGCGCGTATCCACCACACGGATGCCCAGTTTCTCGCACGATGTCAGAATGGGTGAAATATGTCCGCCCGACAAGCAGAACACGTAAGGAATACCATGCGACTGCAAGCATCACAAACATCAAGTTCCCAAAAAAAAGCTAACATGTCAGAAGGAATTGCTTTTTTTAATACTCTTTTATGCACGACAATTTTGGGCATCCAAATTAAATTCCTATTATTTGCTTATCTATTAAAATAAATTAACAAGGTATAAATAAATATAAATGTAATCATAATATTTAAAAAAAAAATAAAAAAAACTGATACTAGTAAAATTTCAAGGCTTAGTAATTCCGTACCTTCAGAACAGATGCAACAAGATCCCCACCGTGCTTTTTGCTCTGTTTGTCAACCTAGAAAAGCAGATTTACGATGTTGAACTATCCACTGCCGAGCGTGAATAACGAAGTTCCTGAAAGAAAGTAAATCAGGCTTCACTTACCTTCCCCAGGAACCCCGCGTATACAATCTTCCCCCATTTCGTCAGCACCGCACGATTGAGAAACATTCTCACCACACCGTACAGCACAATCAGACCAAGAGAACCGTAGAAGAGCGAGCACAGACAGCAGGAATCATATTCGTCGTGATGGTGGTGATGGGAATGATCGGCTGCATCCATGAATTCGGAATGGTACTGATAGTATACAATTTCGTCCGCACCACAACACGGCACAGCCAGGGCGGTCGGGAGAGAGAACAAGCGGTGGACGGCTGAAAAAGGCTGCTAAAAAGCAATCAGCTGTTTTTCAGCGGCGCGGAATATTTTGTAGAATTTTGGCTACCGCTGCTGCAGCCCACTTCCAATGTGCAGCGTGTAAGAAATGGAATTTGAACCGCGATTAGACGGCCGGTAAATCGAATATATTCGTAACAGGCTGCCGCTCGTGGGTGGGAAAGCGGCGCTTTTACGAAACGCTGTCACCGGGTGGCTTCAATTTCGAAAGATTCTGTGCTGCATTAGCGAGATCATTTTTCTCGCGTTCAGAAGAGAAGCAAAAAATTTATTTCATAGAAAATAAAAAAGTTTACACATGTCGTGAATTCGTGATATACATACTGGATACGAGCACTGCATGGCGACAGAGCGATTCATCGTAAACGTCTACCGCGGTCCTTATATCCAGCAAATAGTTAACCACTTCCGGTAAGCCTGACGAATCGGACAAGGCTCCCGATCATACCTGCTAACCATGTTAAAGACTGCAAAGAAGGAAAAGATTTTATTTTCAAAAACAGGTGGAAAGAATTGTAATTAGAGTTATAAGACGGTCAATTCGAATTCACAATGGTACTATACACAGGAATGCGCGTTATAACTCAGCTTCTCGCAGTAAAAGACTCAGCAATAAAAAGTTATCATACTGGCGCAAATGGAATTAACTTTCCATCACGACAGGATTAATCATTAGTGCAATATAAATAAAAATATTTTTCATTTGTTCGCATACGTTTTTAATTTCGTTACACCACGCATCAGATTCCACTTAAAGGAATGAAGAATGCCGATATGAATGACGAATGGTACTGCATTGGCACGTAGCCGTTTTTCTACGATTTCACTAGACAAACTTGCCCAAGTACACCGCTGTACTTGCTCTGAACCGCATCACCTGGAAGTGTTGCAAAAGCGCCGGTTTTCCTTGTGAGCCATGGAACCGACCGGCTTGTCAAGTAAAAATGGGAAAGCCCGGACGGGATGACCTTGAGACCTGTTGTCGAAAGGATGCCGCTCGCGTGTGATGCAACGAGCTGGTGAACGGTTGCAAACTCTCATACCACAGGCAGGTCGAAGAACTTTGGAAGCGGTTCTGGAAGCCCAGCTGGCAGAACTTTGCAAACACGAATGGATTCGTTTTTGGAAACGGGTACCATGTTTTATCCTTTAAAGTTTTGGCGTTTTTTTGGCGTTTCATGAAATCCAGAAATTGCGTTTTGTCAGTTCCCCCTCTCAAGAGAGACAATGGTTTGTTTGTTTCTGATGACAATGAGAAGGCCGAAATTTTTAACCGACAGTACTGCGCTTCTCATTCAGTGTGTGCAAAGCATTGTCAGGTACTGCATCAGAAATTATGTGTAACATGTCGAAATCGAAATCGACGAATCCCTGATTCTCTTACAACTCTCGTCTGTCTCTCAAATACATCGAGTGAAACTTCGAAATAACGAATAAATTATTGAAAGCCGCTGGTCAGTCGATTGTGAAGCCCTTAAAGTTGATTTTTAATGCAGTCTTGAACGAAGGCGTTTATCCTGAAGCATGGAAATTAGCGTACGTTGTTCCTATACCAAAAAAAGGATGTGATTTGACCCTTCCAGTAGCCATCGTCCCATATCAATGCTAAATCCGATTTCGAAAATTTTTGAACGCTGCTTATCCGAAATAATACGAGATCATTTGCGCGAAAATGGTGCTTTGGCGATCATCAGTTCGCTTATCGTCGTAAAGGTCAACCGAACTGGAGATTCTGTATTTTGTAAAAACAGTTTCGGATTTTATTGAAAACGGCATCGACGTTGCCGCTATTTTTCTTGACTGTTCTAAAGCTTTCGACAAGTGCGACCATCAAAGTCTTGTGTCATCTTTGCTGAAGCTTAATCTTAGCAGATAATTCATCTATTATCTGACTATTTAAAAAATCGTAAGCAGTGCGTCTCTGTTGGAGCATATTTGTCGGAAATTTTAAACGTAACCAGTGGTGTTCCCCAGGATCGGTGTTGGGCTTTGTTGTTTATTTGTCTTCTAAACGAAGTGCCTTTATACTCATAAATGGCAGTGTACATGCTGATTTTTGCCGATGATATTGTTTTGCTACGTCCGTTAACTGAAGATAGCCATATATTTCTTCAAGGTGACCTTAACTGTTTGTTTGAATACAACATCTAAAGGTCTTGTTTTTTGATGCGGAAAAGTCTGTCCACATGCAGTTTTCAAAACGGTCTCCGAGTGTAAGGCGAATTTATTCAATAACAATCCCATACCATTTTCTGAAAATGTTAAGCATTTGGGAGTCGAAATTGATCGTGAGCTGTCGTTCAAACTCCATGCAGAAAACCTTGCTGGAAAGTGCAAGAAACGGATCTGGTACATCAATTCTCTGTTTCGCTATCGTGACTCTGGTGCTCGCCTTATGCTGTTTAAATCTTTGGTGTTTCCTCTTATGGATTACTGCGGGCCAGCCGTTTTTCCGCTGTTCAAAATGTCGAAAGATAAAATAGAGCATTGCATTGAAAAATTTGTTGCATCTGTTCGCCTAGGTAACGATACTTCCGACTACCAGCTTCGTTTGAAAGAACTTGATTGGGATAGCTATCGCATAAGAACTGCAAAACAGCTGCTTACTTTCGTTTATAAGCTAGTTTTTGGATTAATGCCGCTAAGCGAAAAATTCTTTTCTAAGCATACAGTGTCTGCTGTCTCGTCTGAATCTGTTTCAGGTAACACACGCAGTCTCCGTCGGCTTGAACGCCACTACCTTCCACTCCGTCCAGTACCAACGACTGCGTGTGGCGCAACCGCCATCCCTATTTCCGGCTCATTCAGCGAAAAACTCATTTCCCTGTGGAACGAAGTATCTCTCCCCTCAGGCTCGTACAAATCTCTCGGAACTTTTCGAAAATCCTTAGAACATGTAAAATGGACAGAACTGAATTGGTCCAAAAAATTTCTGCACCTGTAGACTATCTTATCTTGTTAATTGATCACTCTCTCATTTGCTAAACTGTTGATTTTTGTTTCAATCACCGTGTTACAATTGTTACTCTCTTTAGCTGTGTTTTTCTTTTATGTCAGATCTTAGACTGTCAACCTGTATATTATTGTGACCTTTCCACCATGCCCCTCACTGTTTAATTTCTGTTTACTGTCCACTGCTGTTAAGGGTACGGCCCTGTTGCACGAAGACAATAAATTCACCATTATTATTAAAAAAGTAGTGGTTGATACGTTAGGAGTTTTTGGCCCAGCGTTTTAGTTTAGCGGCTGTTTGAGTTCAGCGGAAATGTACTGTAACGGCTGTGTTGGGTTGCCTTTTAACGAGGCACGGTAGTATCCACTCCAGCTGGAGTGTAAAAAAAAGCCAAATAATTTAATGTCTCCATGAAGCAACCTACGCTCCATCTCCTTATTAACTTTCATCGCAGCTGTAAACTAAACAACAGCCAAAGTATTAATGGTATTATTGATTGCGCCGCTGTACAGAGTGCACACTAACCAGCTAACAGCCGTTGCATCCTCATAAAATTAATTTTAAACAATTGGCGACTTTGCGCTTAGTTTATGCTGTAACTGTTCGGTGCGTTATTTGTGTGATTGAACATCCTGACAATTCCGACTCTGCCGGAAGTTGTGGTAGTTTTGTGTAGTTCTGAAGTTGTAGTGGTTTTGACTTTTGAGAGGCTGTGTACTACGAAAACATTCACGGCAGCTGCACACCTTGTTCATACACAGTCCAACAATGTTTACAAACACGAAATGTAAACACCGATCATCAGGGTACATTGCCAGGACAGCGGTTATGTCAAACGTAATACTCGTATCACAAAAACACTGCATTTTAAATTGCAGACAACAAAGCAGAGTATACTTTTCTTCCATTTAGACAAAATCGTAGTTATTGTGAGCACTGAGCGGAATAATAATTACGTGAGTCCCTGTTTGACTTGTCGGCTTAGGTCATTTTTATTATTTTTTGTTAAATTTTTTTGTGAAATTTTTAAAAGACGTTAGCCGGCCGTTTGTACCCTGCTGGAACCGTGAAGGCAATTACCGCAGCCGGTCCCCGTGGTGAGTTTGCATATGAGCATGGCACACCACCCGACGGTCCCGGCCACAGCTGTCGCATTAATTGAGAACTGGATTTTCGCGGAACACTTCATTGTGCGAGCACACACGTGGCACGTGCGTACTTACGTGGGTTCGCTGGAGCGCAAAGGACGCGCGTAGAAATCCGGCTAGACAAGGCGCTCGGGAGCGGCTGGTGGCAGTGATGTGCACGCAGCGTGGCTTCATTCATAAATCGCCACCACGTTGTCGGGCGCGGTAGCTGCTGTTGTCTGCGGCTGCCACACATACACACGGCCGCGGTAAATTACGGTACATTAGTTAATCCAGCGATGTGTGGATCCCGTTTGGCACTGGCAGTACCCCAAACACCACCATAATTATTGCCCGGTGTTTTTGTAATTTTACCGCTTAATGCGCTGCAGACGCATCTTCCGTTGCGCTTCAATAAGTCTGTACGCAGTTTTTTTCCGACTATCTGCAATAATATGCTTGTAATTGCTCCTGCTGTCTCGTCTGGACATTATATAAATATTTTTATATCGTCTGATAAAATGATATCCAATTTTTTACTGCATAATTATACTCTCCGTGCAAAGTTTTAGGATTACTGAAATGTGCAATGCCGAAAACTCTACCTCACAAATAATTCAACGTGAAAGTTAAGCTCTAACATGATTTACTGAAAATTGATTGCATACCGTATGTAATATATATATGTCTGTTATTTTAATTTACGTATGTAACATACGTAAATTAAAATAGCAGACATATATGTCGTCAAAATGCGTGTTATGAAAAACAGATTCCTAGTATCCACTAATCAAAAATTTTCAGCGTATGTGCTATATATGTATGCACACTGTACTGTGGTCTGCTTTTGATGCCAAAATAAAACTCCTATTTGCTGGATTTATCAACGGAGGGATTAAAACATTGCAGCTCATTTTCACTTGGATTATCCCTCAATTTACTATTTGGTGCACGCTTTCGAATATACAGCCAGTTAGGGAAGTATGTATTTTAGAA